GTTGACTCCCAGCTGTTGAATTCCTCCAGACACTACCTTAACATCCGCTATACTCTTCTGCCTTACCTCTACACCCTCTTCTACCGTGCTCACAACCGGGGGGACACGGTGGCCAGGCCCCTTCTACATGAGTGAGTTTCCCTAACCCAGAGGACTTCCTGAGTGAAGCTGGGGTGATGTTAACTTTCATCAAGTACAGAGTGAGATTTGGAACAATTCTGGAAGTTATATATGTGTGTGTGTGTGTGTGTGTGCGTGTGTGTATGAGTGTATGTGTATATATATATATATATATTATATACATTCATATTATATGTGTGTAGATATACACACATGTATAGTATGTGTGTGTATATGAGTGTATGTGTATATAATATACATTCATATTATATGTGTGTAGATATGTACACATTTATAGTGTGTGTGTTTGTGTGTGTGTGTGTGTGTGTGTGTATAGTCCATTGGTATTTGTAAAGTTATTGCTGCCTAGATATTACTTTAGGATCTATTTAATTATTATAGCCTATTCCCTTTTGAGAATAAAACTAGACTAATTATGACTTAGGGCCATTTTTTTTCTGCCACCAACTAATTCTTTATCTTTGACAAATCCTTTAGGCTCTGTCATCCTTTGTAGACCAAGGAATAGCAGGAGGGAACATGGGCTGGGAAAGTGGGTCTGTGTGGGAGAATGGACGGGTGCCATGTAATTCCGGGGGGTTTCCCAGGCAGGTAGCCGACATGCTTTGCCTAGGCTAGGAGAAAAGCTGCCAAGAAGCATTGGCCAAATATCAACGCACCGTCTCTCTGTCCTCCAGGTTCTACAGTGACAACAGCACTTGGGATGTGCATCGGCAGTTTTTATGGGGGCCAGGACTCCTCATCACTCCAGTTCTGGATGAGGCAAGTGCTCCACAAAGACACGCGGTGGTCTCTGCTGTTCTCACTGGCCTCCAAACTCCCTTCCCTTCTCTATAGTCCAAACCATTTACAGCATCTGAGGCTGAGTCAGCCAGGAGCAGAGTGTGCTTGGGCTTGGAAGTCAGGTATCTGTTGGAAAATGTGCTTATACATTTTCCTCTTTAGAAATATTTTTCCTTGACCAAGTTCCCATCCAGAGTAGAAGCATCTTCTGACGGCCATGTGCCATCTAGCAGATCATTGCTAGCTCAGTGTTAGGAAGATTGTGCAGTTACTCTGCACTCACTTGAAAGTCAGACTGATCAGGGTGTGCTTGCTGCCTCTGCCACTTAGCACCTGTGATCTGGGGTAGGCTATTATTCTGGTTTCTCATCTCTAAGGGTGAGGTAATAATAGTACCTACCATTCAGGGTTGTTGAGAGAATTAAATGAGATATTCCATTTAAATTTGAAATTTTCCCCACAATATGTTTCATTATTACTACTGTTCTTAATGTGACCCCATTTGGGAGTTTTCCCTGGGTTGCCAAGTTATGGCTTCTGTTGCTTTATTAAAAGAAAGGCAGAAGAAAGGAATGCCATAACAGAGGAAAGGAAGGTCATTCTGCCTTCTGGGTATGTGGTAGAGAAGTACCCTAGGGTATTTGAAGAAATGAACTTTATTCCCCCTAGAGGCTGAATCATGAAAGACAATACTTTGTTTCCATTTCAGGGGGCAGAGAAAGTAATGGCATATGTGCCGGATGCTGTTTGGTACGACTACGAGACTGTAAGTAGCTTTGATTTTCCTTAAGCTTTCAAGATTGCAGTAGTAGCTGCACAGACAAAATACCTCCCTGGAAAGACAAATGTCCACCCATGCATGGAGTAATCTTTGTGTGGTGTTTTCTCTAATTTCATAGTGTGCCTGAGTCATTTAACATCGATCACGATAAAAAATTTAGAAAAAATAAACTTTGATATAGTTTATTGAGCAATATGATAAACTCAAGAAGTATCTAATGCAGATATTGGAAGGGCTGACAGACAATTTGAACTTGGTCAGGAATCAGATTACTTGCTCAGAACTATCACTTTCTATAATTCTATAATATATGTCAAATAGCCTCAGCACGGCATAAGTGCTCTTACAAATCCCACTGATGACAAAAAGATGGTTCCTACTTTTTTCTTCCCATTTGTTTGCCTGCCCAGACAGTAACTCGGCTCAGTGGGAAAGGGAGAAGGCTGCAGCTAGCTCAGCACAGGGACAGTGGTGGCGGTCATGCTGTCATTGCAGTGTGTTTGATTCTTCTGCATGCTTCAGGGGGCCCAACTGAGATGGAGAAAGGAAAGAAAAGGAGCTGGAACTTCCTGGAGACAAAATTGGACTTCACCTTCGAGGAGGCTACATCTTCCCCACACAGCAGCCAAATACAACCACTATGGCCAGGTACAATGTGGGTGAGAATGTCCTTCATGTCCTGGCCAACAGAGCTGGTCGTATGTGTTCCCGTCTGTGGGGCAGAGGGTGCCGCCACACCATGCGGCGTGTAGGGGAGGAAAAATGGAAGGGGATGTGTGTTGGGAGGGGCAGAATCAAACTCTTCCTTGGATCTCCCTGGCCTTTGCTTGATCTAGAGCTGTACCCAGAAGGAGTTTTGAAAACCATAACCCCTATTCTTCCTTAAGCCCTTGGGATTTCTCCTCATAACACACCGACAGTGAGTGTGACCTTCCCTGATTCTTACAGGGTTGTCGTAGTTTTAGCACTGGAAGTCTAATGTCTTGGAAACCTCTCAATTCTGGGCAAACAGAGTTAGTCAATCATGTCTCTTTGACATACAGATCTCATTTCCTTTGAATATAAACCCAGTAGTAGAATTGCTGGATCATATGGTATTCTATTTTTAATATTTTTAAAAATTATTTTATTTAATTTTATTCATCATTGTTATTATTTTTAAAACTTTACCAGAGAGGGACAGAGAGAGCAAGAGTGAGAGAGAGATAGTGAGAAAACAAGTCACCAGGTCTGGGACTTGAACCACAGTCAGCAACATGGGAGTCCAGTGCCTTAACTACCCTGCCACCTACTAGGCCCTCTATCTTTAATTTTTGGAGGGATCTCTACACTGTTTTTCATAATGGCTATTCTAATTTACATTCTCACCAACAATGAATAAGTTTCTTTTACTCTACATCCTTGCCAGAATTTATTACTTTTTGTCTTTTCTATAATAGCTATCCTAACTAAATTCAGATTTTATATGTAAAAAAAGCCTTCCCCAATTCTTCAAGCAGAAGAAATGCTACCACTTTCAACTTTCGGGTCATTTATACATGAGCTTAGTTCAGTTTTGTTCTTCTTTAATGTTGTTAAATATGTCTCAAAGTTCTCATGGGACTCTAAACCTGTTGTTAGTTATCTTTGCTGACTTTCATTCTGATTTATTACCTTTGTTGTTGTCTATTAAGTGTGGTAATCTGAAGGACCCATGTGCATCTTGTTTCTTTAGTGATCATTTGACTTTTCTTCAGTTGCAAGCCAGGAATTGTTGTCTTTGTACCACATTAGTTCTCTTGAAGGATCTGGGCTCTATGTGGGAATAGGAGGGGCATTTTTAAAATTTTTTATTTTTTCCCTTGGATTACCAATCTTAGTAGCCCATTCTAGCTTTGTGTAGTCATTCATCCTAGGGAAATTTCAAGTTTGGGTTATTGAACCTTTTTTTCTGATTTAACTCATTGTTTTGTTACCCTGTTGTTGTTTTGGTCTCTTGGATATACTCCTTATTTCTTGCAAGCCCAACGGTGCTTTAATAAGAATATGTGTTGTAATTTATCCAGGACCGAGTAGTATTTTAGAGGGTGGATCCTCCACTTAGTCCATCTTACTTTTCTGCAAGTGCCATTCTGGACTTCTGTAGTATCTTGACTTTTGTGTCACTTTTCACTTCCTGCCTTGATTATTTGATGAATGTGTCTAATCTTCACTACAGTATTTAACATCATTGTGGTCAGGAGCTATGACTTATTTATCTTTGTATTTCTTTGGTGTCTTATCAATAACAGCTACCTGGTACATGAATATTTAGTAAAAGCAGGAGATTTTTGTTGTTGTTGTTGTTGAAGAAGTTTTTGCTATAGGGCATGTGCACTCGCCAGACAGACAGAGAGAGACAGAGAGACAGAAATCAAGAAATCACCCCCCAGGGGGGATGGCCATGCCACAATCCCTTCTCCTCCATTCTTCAGAAATCGAGACAGGAATCAAGAAATCACCCCCCAGGGTGGATGGCCATGCCGCAATCCCCTCTCCTCCATTCTTCTCTCGGGATCTTGGGCACACATGCACACGTGCCTGGCGTGAGTTTAAGCCACCGGGTCCAGGACGCGAACCGCAGTCGACTACGTGGGAGTCCAACGACATAGCCATTACGCTAACTGCTGGTCCCAGTAGGTGATTTTGTTGATAAGGGGACCTGACACACACGCTGGAAGGTTGAACTAAGAAAAAAAATATAATTGGGAATGTGAGGTCACTGAGAAACAAAGAGGGACGGAGGAAGGACTTGGGGGTTAGACTAGAAAATTGGAGAAATGAGGCCAGACTCCCAACAAAATTGCTCTTTCTTTCTACCTCTTGCTGTATGTTCATCTATTTTACCATCTCTTTGAGTAATATTTTCTTTCTTTTTCTTTTCCTTTTTTTTAGTTGGCAAAGGATGTATATGCTTGCCAGGGAGAGTCAGAGAGAGAGAGAAAGAGAGATAAAGCATCTCCCTTTGGGGCAACACCCCATGGTACCCTTTGACTTTAAAACACCACCATTTGTAAGATACACACTGATTTGTAGTGGACTTTAGGAAAGAGAGGGGGGAGTGGGGAGCTAACGCTACATTAAGTATGAGAGTAGATGTGGTTAGTAGAAGGTTATAATTAGCCTTCCTGTCTTCAACATCTCCATTTAGGAACCATTGAAGAGACAGCAGTGTCAGGTGGGAAATAAAATAGCACTTTCTCATGGATGAGTCCAGATTGGAGAACTATTTCTGGGATCTGCTGCCACACAGGGGACTTTGCACATTTCCCCCTAGTCTAGATTTCAGTCATACCTGCCATGGAGTCTGCAGGGCAACAGGGTCACTACCAGCCCGTCTGGAGCCTTTGGATAAAACAAAGATGCCATCTCTAGATAAAAGCTGACACAGGAGTATGTGGATTGGCACACCTTACATGGGCTACTTCTCTTTCCTCGTGGTCTCCACGACTGGCAGGATGCCTTTGTCAATGCACATATCACTTGATTCTCTGCAGTTGTCCTGCCAAGCAGAGACTCATTCCTCCTCCAGCAGCAAGCAGAACTTCAGCCTGGTACTGAACCACTGACATTAACTGGGTACCAGGGAATCTACAGACTTCTAGCTCTGTCGGTAGTAGGGCCTCTGGATCATATAAGGATGAAACAAAGGAAACCTGACACTAAGCAGTCAAGTGCCTGAAAACATACAGGCCCTCAGACCACATGAGAAAGTGGCCTGAGAAGACCTATCCCGGTCAAGGGACACCAACTAGTGCAATGTTCAGAGTTTTGAGCAAGACTTACAATAAAAAATACATTTTATACTCATAACCTGACATACAAACACACACACAGGCACACACACACACACACACACCACACACACACACATATATATGTATGTATATATATACATACATATATATACACACATATATATGTATATATGTACATATATATGTATATATATATAGTAGACTCTAATTTTCTGTCAATGGACATGCAGAAGAAATATTTGCAAGACTATTTTAAATTCAGAATATATATCTTCCTTTCAAAATACCTGTGAACAAATGATATGAAAAACTTACACATGCCAGTAAGTGAGAATATGCTTTTCTAGTGTATATACATCTAGCCATGTTTTTAAGCACTTTTTTTGGCTCCAATAAACTAAAAGTTTTTGTGACTGAAGCTTAGGAAATAGATTTCCTTGAAGCTTATGCCTTGGAAATGTTTGAAAGGAAATCTTTTCAAGCTTACAGTAGGTAAAAGTAAGAACAGTGGCTTTGGCTTGGAGATTATGCCCATAATCTTGTCTTTCTTAAAATGTATTTTTTAAAAAGTATTTTTATTAAATGTTCACATATTGGAATGATCACCGTGTAAGCTAAATAATATGATTGAATGTATTAAAAATGTAAATAAAGAAGTATTTTTATTTATTTAATTTAGAAATATTTGATGTTTCTTTTTATCTTTTTTCCTCCCTTATATTTGTTAGAGAGTGCATGCACTTGCCAGAGAGAGACAGAAAGAGAAAAGGAAAGCAAGAAGCATCCTCCATGGCACATGGACACATGACACATTGAAATCCCTTCTCCTCTATTTCTCCTTGCTTTTGGAATTTGAGACATAAAGACATATTTCCCCAACATATTTCCCAAGCCACAAGGTCTAGGACTTGAACTGTATAGTTGACTATGTGAGGTCAAGCCACATTAACCACTAGGCCATGGACTGGCCCTATCTTGTTTTCTTTTTTTCTTTCTTTCTTTTTTTTTTTTTTTGTTGTTTGTTTGTTTTTCTCATAACAGCCATTTTAACAGGTATAGGGGAGAACTATGATGCTTTTGGGTTTGCATCTCCTGACAATAAGTGATATTGAGAACCTCGTCATATACCTGTTGACTATCTGTATGCATTCTTTGGTAAAATGTTTATTCATGTCCTTTGCCCATTTTAAAATGGAATTATTTGTTCTTTAATAATTGAGTTGTGTAATACCTTACATATTTTTTATATCAACCTCTTCTCAGATATTTGGTTAGCAAATATTTTTTCTCATTCTGTAGGTTGTCTCTTCGCCAGTTGGTTGTTTCTTTTTCTCTGTGAAGAGTCACATTTGTTTATTTTTACTTCGATTGCTTGTGCTACCAGTGTCATATCCAAAATCATTGCCAAGACCGATATCAAAGAGATTTTCTTCTAGCAGTCTTATAGTGTTAGCCTTTACCTTTAAGCTTTTAATTTATTTTAACAATATACAAGATCTGGAAATAACCTAAGTATCCTTCTATAAATTAATTGATAAAGAATAGTATATGTACCCACACATACACACATAGTAGAATATTATTTATTCATTAAAAAAAGGAAATCCTGTTGTTTGTGACACGAATAAACCTGGAAGATATTATACCAACCTAGATGAAGAAAGACAAGTACTACATAATCTTACTTATATGTAGATCTCTAAAAAAGCTGAACTCAGAAGCACAGAATAGAATGGGGAGTAGTCAGGGGCTGTGGGTAGAGGGGTATATTGGGAGATGCCTGTCAAAAGTTACAAACTTTTGGTTTTGATGAAATAGTACTGGTGATCCAATGTGCAGCATGAGTGGTGATAGAATGAACTAATTATTTGGATTGTAGGAGTCATTATACAATGTATACATTTACCAGATCATCAAGTCACTACACACTTTTAATATCTACCATCTTTACTTGTCAGTTAGTAAAAGTAACTAACAGCAAATTTATATTTCTATGAGGATTTCAGATAATAGAATTTTTAGACACAGAGTACAAAATAACTATGATTGAAATATTTAACATTAAGGGAAAAAAGAAAGGGGAAGAAAGAAAGAAAAGAAAAATGCAAGAAATAACAAGTGTTGGCAAGTATAGAGAATATGGAACACTTGTACAATGTTGGTAGAAATGCAAATTGGTACAGTCATATGGAAAATAGGATGGACTTTCCTCAAAAAATTTAAAATAGACGACTTTGGCTCAGCTGCAATAGTGTGTGCTGTAGGCAGTGCTATTTAGCAGCTTAAGACACATGGAGACTTTCAGTTCCTGTTTCATGCTAGCTGCCAGGTGCATGTTACATGCTTACTGTCTCAGCTACTTGGAAGGTTGAGTCTGAAGAGTTGTGACACAGCGACACTCTACCTTAAAAAATAATAAAACTACCATACAATCTAGCAACTCCTCTTTGGGTATATATCCAAAGGAAATGAAATTCATATCTATGAGAAATTGCACTTCCAGGTTTATTGCCTCATTACTCACAATAGTGAAGATATATAAACCACCTAATATCTACTGATGGATGAATAGATAAAACAATTGTGGTACATATATACAGGAGGATATTATTTGGCCATAAAAATGAGGCAACTCTACCATTTGTGACATCAGGATGTAGCTTCAAGGAGGGGCATGTTGAAATCTGTCCTGTCGTGGGCAGACCAGGGTCTGACTTGTCTTTCTCTTACTTTCAGATACTGTGGCCAATGGAATTTATCTTCTATGTGAGTTCTCTGTCACCCAAGTGAGTAGCATATTTTTGTAAATCTTAAGTGTGGATTTTTGCCTGGCCATTAGCATATATGTATTTGTATTTATGTAAAATCACATTCGTACTTTCATATGCATTTATGACTATAGGTAAGTACATTTCCAGTTATAACTTAATTCCAATAATTGAATCATCCATGTTATCAAAAGGAGTTAATAATATAAATAAACCAAAGCAGCCAGTGGTGCTTCTAGATACTAATTTTATACAATGTCTGTGTTCTAGATTTTTTTTCTCAAGAGATCACTGAAAGAAATTTGTGCCTCTGAGCACACATTAGTAGAGATAGCTAAGAAATATTCAGAAGAGTGGGACATATCTGGTCTAGGATGGAATATTTGAGTGACTTGAGAATGTATGTATTACCTGCATACCTTTGTGCTTAAATGTGTCTAATTGTTTTGTAGAACCGCTTGGATGTGAAGATTTTACAATCAGCCTACAAGGACCCCAATAATTTAACATTTAAAGAGATTAAAATCCTTGGGACTCAGGAATTTAGAAGTGTTACAGTGAAACACAATGGTGTCCCAAGTCAAATGTCTCCTAGAGTCTCTTATGATTCTAATTTGAAGGTAAAAATGCATTTTGTTAATATGGTTTATCGGGAATTTTTCATAGCATCATGGTTTTCTCTTGCCAAGATTGCAATGATCCCTGCAGGACCAGAGCACATCCTGTGGCCTATGGTGGGGATGTGAGAGGGATGGGAAAGAAACCAGAAATAAGTAGTGGCCAGAGCTAGAATGAGCTGGGAGTTACTGAGGAATGGAGATAAGGTGACGTGGTCTGTGCCTCCTGAATCCCTTCTTTGTGCCTCAGTGTTTTGCTCTCTCTGGATGGTTTCACTTTCAAAGAAATAGTTATGATAGGACAGAAGAAGAGCAAGGTTAGAAATATGGGAATAAACTTAGAGGAAAAGTAGATCCAAAAGAGGCTGATTGATGTTAGAATCAGGAACAGTTGGGAGGTAGGAGTCTTATTAGTTGAAATTTTGAACTGCATTTTTTGAAACTATATTGACATATGTAGACTCCCACTCCAACACATACTTTTTTTTTTCTTTTTATGAAGAGATTTTTGCTATAGGGTACATGCACTTGTCAGAGAGACAAAAAGTGAGAAATCACACCTCTTAGGGGGATGGCCATGCCACAGTCCCTTCTCCTCCATTCTCCTCTCAGGATTTTGGGCATGCACGTACAAGCACCTGGTGTGTTTAAGCCACTGGCTCTGGGACATGATCCATGCTTGACTATATGGGAGTTCAGCAACGTAACCATTATGCCATCTGCTGGTTCCTCAACACATACATTTTTTAAAGAAATAGTTTAAGAAAAATAATTTGTTAATCCTAGCTAGTGGCTACTTATTTAGCTAGGTGATAATTAAATAATTTTTCACCAGTCGTAATGATTTCTGACACATCCGAACAACTTGTAATCAGTCCCTCAGATACCTGAGCCTTATGAAGAAAACTTTCACCAAATAAGCCTTACTACGTATATGCCAAATGGCCTGGCATTCATTGGGAGCTGCTGGGTCAGAATGGTTGGTGGAGGGCCTTCCAAATTTGGGGAAAATAAACCAGTTAAGTCTTTTTTTCTATAATGACATATTGATGACCTTTAATGTTCTGTCCTGACAATATGTATCGAGACTGCACATGTTATAAAGTTAGATATCACCAAAGGAATTCATTGTTTAAATTATACACATGAAACTCGGGGACCGGGAACCCAGACCAACATATAGGGAATGTAAACTTACACCTAGTTTAGTGTGCAAGGCGTAATGGACTAGCTGAGCAGAGCATCTTAGAGGAGGCAAGGACAGAGCTGGGTTTTGAAAAGTGGTCTGTTAGGTAGGAATTTTTTCAGCTGCAAATGACAGGAATCCAAAATGGCAGTTTGAAAAAATAAGGAATGTTTTTCCTTATGGATTAAGATGTTTAGAAGGTGGCACAGGGGAGCAAAAATGGTTCCTCTGCCCTTCTAGATTCTTTGGCTGTGCTTCAAACTAAACAGATATAAAACATGTTAACAAGAAAAAAATATTTTAATTACATATGTGTACATGAGATGAAAGTGAAACCTCAAGAAGAGTCAAATAATTAAAGTTTATATAGCATTTTCAGCTACAGGAAGGAATGTGGGTTTGGGGGATGGATGGTGAAGGGAAAAATGTGTGGTGAATAAAGGTTGTCTTCTTAGGTAGATATTAAGTCTCTCAGGTGACAAAAGTTGTGCCAGAGCAACCCTCAGAATAGGTGGTAGTCTGGCCATGGTGTTAACCTCCAGCCCATCAATAGTGTATTCATCCGCTGAGTTAATCTTTCCTGTTTATAAAATGCCAAAGGAAGAGGATTTGTAATAATTAAGTTCATTTAGATAGAGGGGAGGGCCAAGGAAGTCTTGTTTGAGTCTACTTTATCTACTCCCAGTTCAAATCCCTTCTCCTCCACAATCAGCATATCAAAACATCAGAGAATATTTTGGGCACATTTTCTGAACTCTTTCAGTGAAGAATTGCTGCTTCTGTTTCAGTGGCACATGGCTGTAAGAGTTGAGGTCTTTTCTTCTCTTGTGATTGGAAATAGCTATTTAGTTGAGGTGTCTGGGCCTGTGTTTTAGTGAAAAGCAAAAGGGCAGGCAACTAGCAGTGCATTCCATAAATGGGTGCCATTGTCCTAGAAAGGGCACTTGCCTAAGTAAAGCATTCCAAGTTGAGATATCAGAATAAACCAGTCCCTGGACTGAGGCTAGCCTTATATTATTAGTCTGTGACTTTCGTATAACTGGCATAGACAGAATTTACTTAAAAATTAAAAAAAAAAATTTACATTGAATTGCTATATATCTTTACAGTGTACATTACTTTTTCTAAAACTAATATGTTACATATCAGTCAAGACAAAGACATTGCATTTTACATTATCATCAGCAAGTAACTTCTCATTTTTGTGTCAATTAAACATATTTTACCCCCTCCCTCCCTCCATTACCCATCCCCATAATTTACTTTCATTAATAGAAGAAGATCTGGTTGCACAGGAAAAAATGTGATTACAGTGTGGAGAGTCTTAGGTACCAAAATGTGGAGGTCTCACTTCATCTAATTACCAAAAGGTTTTACTTTGATTCTTGAATCGAGGTTGTGCCATTGTGCAGGCATTGCCTGAGCGTTGGGGGGTTTAATAGTACAGGGAAGTGCTAGTGCAAGGAGACCGAGAGAAGGATAGTGATCCTTAGAATGTGATTTTATGATTCCTGACAAATGAAAACTTCAGCTGTGCAAATACTATTTAAAGAAGAGTCAAATATAAGAAAAATATACAGAAAAATATCAAACACTTGAAATAGTAGATAGTACTGAAAGATTTCAACTTTAAAGCCTCTGGGTTTGGAGAGATGAAGAGGTTGAGAATGTCGGAAATGGAAGAAAATGGAATGATTTTGCCAACTCACCAATTTTATAGTTAGTAAACTGCGAGCCTCCCCTCCCCCACATTGAATAATATGCCTAAAATTCCACAGAAAAATGAGAATGAGAACTCAGGTCATATAATTTTTATTTCTGTTTGCTTTCTGCCACTCCAGACCATTGGGAGATGCAGTTTTGGGGTGTGGAGGGTCAGAAGTCAGCTCAATCTGGGAAGTACAGAAGAGAGCCTTCTTAGCAAAAGAAGGGGAGGAGGAGTCAGGGGAGGAAAGAACAGGACGGGCCACACCAGGCCTCATTTGCCTTAATTCTTTGTACAATGCAATGTACAAGACTCGGAGAGAGCTGTGGTATTGCCCAGTTGCTACTGCATAGCCCTCCCCGCCCGCACTGTGTAGCTCTCTGCATATAGGATTCAGTTGCATGTTACTTAGGTTGTTGAGTTTTGTCTGATTTCTATTTATTAATTTATTTTGACATACAGCATGTTTTATGAACTGGCAACAGAGATATTTGGTCAAAGAAAGGCAGAGGAACTTTGTTCTTTAAGAACTAGAACCGAGGGGCTCCATAATCATCTGGCATCCGCTCAATGTTGTATCTATGGTTCGAAGTGTACATGATAGGGACTCCTGGGATCTTCCGGATTTTTTGTTTAAGGTCTTGGTCAACTGTGGCCACAGTGTAACACTTGGGCTGAGTTACTCTCTGTACTAAGCAGTCATCGGAGTAGGTTCCTTTGTGTGTGCATGGTCATCGTTCAACTCTTGGATCCTTAGAGCCACTGATACTTTTGCCCTAGTTTCTCAATTTCGGCCACTACACAGTCAGTTATACAAGGGACACACTTGGCATTCAGACAGCCCATCATTGACTGCACTAAGTCCAGTTTGGCTTTAATGGAAAAGTTGATAAAGCTGGTATCTACCAGGATGTGGTAATGTGGACCCAGCTGTGTATTATATTGAAGGAATAAGCAGGAAGGGTGTTGGGGGACGTCTCTTTCCTTCAGCGTGCTAGGATCTTTCTTTTCCTGCTTTTAGGTTTTAATCTATCCTCTTCTTTAAGCCTCTGATCTCTGAGACTAAGCATTCACTTCATAGTTGCATACTTGGTTTTCTTTTGTTTCCCCTTGCTCATGCCACACTCTTGTTTTTTCCGGAATCCTTACTTATTTGTTTTTTAAAGTTAGGATTTTGCAAAGCCTTTTTCCCCGAGGATGAATTTACTTGTGACTTCCTTATTCCTACAGGTTGCCATTATCACAGAAATTGATCTTGTCCTGGGTGAAGCATACACAGTGGAGTGGAGCATGATCTTAAGAGATGAAGAAAAAATAGACTGTTATCCTGATGAACAGGGTGCTTCTGCAGACAGCTGTGCTGCCCGCGGCTGTGTCTGGGAGGTAACCATGCTGATGGTGTTGCATTAAAATCCTCTGTATTTAGGGACCAGCAGATAGTGTAATGGCTATGTCACTGGACTCCCATGTAGTCTACCTCAATTCGAGTCCCGGACTCGGTGGCTTAAACTCACACCAGGTGCGTGTGCGTGCGTGCCCAAGATCTCGAGAGGAGGCTGGAGTAGAAGGGATTGTGGCATGGCCATACCCCCTGGGGATGATTTCTTGCTTTCTATCTTTCCGTCTCTCTCTGTCTTTTTGGCAAGCACCCTATAGCAAAAACCTCTCTAAAAAAAGAAAGAAAAATCCTCTGTATTTAATCTGCAATCTCATGGCACCAGTACCTATGTAGCTATTTAAAATGTGTAGAGATAAAGGACTTCTAAAGCAACCTGATCGCATGTGAAGGGGAGGTGGGAAAAGGAGCTGGGTAATTTTTCTAAATATATTGCATGGAGCCCAGGATTTTAAATTTATTTCATTACCTAGTGATATATAAACCAATGAGTGATGGACTGGCTCCATCTCCCTAAATTGCCTTTTTGAACCCCTTTCTATTTGCTGATTTTAGGATCACGTGCTAATCTATGACTTGGGCCTTACTTTTTAGGAATCTAGTACTCCGGGGGTCCCGTTCTGCTATTTTGTTAGTGATCTGTACTCTGTCAGCAATGTTCAGTATAACTCACATGGGGCCACAGCTGACATCTCCTTGAAGTCTTCTGTTTACGCCAACGCTCTGCCCTCCACACCTGTGAACTCACTCCGCCTGGACGTGACCTACCATAAGAATGAAATGCTGCAGTTTAAGGTAAATACAGTCTACATACTGGGTAATGACTAGGTCCTTTTCAGTTTCATTTGTTTTTGCTAATTGAGGTTATAGACCACTAAAGTAAGTTTAATCAGCTGAATTAATTAAACTCTGATAGACTATTATCCTGAGAGCAATGAAATACCACTGATGGAATACTGAGACTTTTTCTAACTTGGATTTTGAAAAGAATGATTGGAAGGACAAGAGTGAATATGGAAAAGTTAGGAGGCTACCAATTAGATCAGGTAGGGATTGACTTGAACCACAGGGAGGGAGATGGAGAGTAGAGAACATGTTCGAGTTTGATACCGGATTACGGAATCTGATGATTGATTGCACATAAGTGATGTGGGAGAGAAGCATCAAGAGGGATTGCAGTTTGCATATCTGTATAGATGATGCTGAAAATGAACCAGATGGAGAATATTGAGAGTTTGTGCTTGGTCAGTATAAGATGAGGAGTTCAAGTCTGGATCCTAAATTTGAGATCACTGAAATAACCACCAAAGTGCTCTAAAAAATTCTTGGTTTAATTACTTCTATGAAATAGGGATGAATTAGCTGTTTTCATGTATATTTTCTCTTCTCAAGGACAGGAATTTATCCTATCATTTTTCTGCTTCTGAAATCTAACACAGAGAGTATGGTAGATGGCAAGCACTCAAATATTTATTGAGAGAGTAAATGAAAGTGAGCAGGTGGCATCACCTGAAAGGTTGTTCACAGTCTGATACCAACCTGGACTCTGAGGTTTTTTACAAGTCTTCTAATGCAACGATGATCTTTTATGGCTGTATTTTCACCCCAGCACTGGCATGTGGTAGGCACCCAATGGGTTTGACATGAATGAACTTTCTTGGATTCTGGCTTTAATGCTTGACCATATAAAATACTTGTGTCTTTCTAAGATCTCTAGTATTCTGTTCCTTTACGATTGTTATTTCTCTACTGGGATTGAATTTATCTTTTTTTTTTTTTTTTGGTCCTTGGTTAATGTTTGCAAAGCTTTTAAGAATCAACCTGTATTTCTCTCCTGAAACCTTTTCTGTCTCCCAGAATCAGTGTTAGATATTTCCCTCCCTGTAATCTCACGGTATACAATCTACTTTAGTCCCATCACCTAAGTAATGTAGATACTTCTCTTCACATCCCATTAGCATGTGAATTTCTCAAAATGATAACCTTTTCTTATCTAGTCTGTATCCCTGGTGTCTAGCACAGTATCTGGCAAAGATATAGAAGGCACCAACAAATGAACTTCAATACTGTTTTTAACAAGGACATCCATGATTATTTTAATCAAATAAACTTTTAAGGGAGGATTTTTCTTTCAACTTACAGAAGTCTTCAGGTATTGACATACTCTTATAAACCCATATATAACATAATAAATAAATTCATAAATGCAAACATGTTCCAGACTGCTTTTCCAAGATAGCAGCAATGTCAAAGCAAGTGTACTACTATAACAGAGGCTTAAAAATGAGAAGACAGACTCATACTAAAATGTTAAATCTGACATGTTCTTTGATATGTTATTCATCTCAGGTATTATGAGCTTAAAAACTATATATAGCATCCAACTCTTTGTCAGAGACATGAAAGTCCTGCTAAGGAGATAGGCTTTAAGAGTTCTATCCTTAACTAACATCTATTTCCTCTGGCCTAGATTTATGACCCTAACAACAAGCGGTATGAAGTCCCTATCCCTCTGAACATACCCAGGGTTCCAACTAGCACCTCCCAGGATCAACTCTATGATGTCCTCATTAAGCAGAATCCTTTTGGGATTGAAATTCGCCGAAAGAGTACAAACACTGTAATGTAAGTGGCTCCCAGTCTGACTCCGAATTGATGGTGCTAGTACATCAACTGCCAGATTTGTTTTCCTTTGAGCTATCATGGCTCAAAGCAGCACACAGTCCATTTCCAGATCTATGAATAAGTCATTTTCTTCAGACTTGTTTTTATGGCAAATTTTAGCAGACATAGAATAATTACTAAGGCAGTTTCCTGTATATGGGGATTCTTCCAACATACGTTCATGGGGAACCTTTTCTATATTAGGTGCTAGTCTAGGAACTGTGATTTCAAGTGATGAGGTCTCTCATGTAACAAATAATATAACATAACATAATTTAAGTTACAGTATAAAAAGAAAGTTGAGATAATGATAACTGCTCTATAGGGGAAAAAGCAGGGTAATAGAGAGTTTGGGGAGGTTACTGCTTTTTATATTGTGATCAGTAAAGATCTCTCAGAAAAAATGACATTTGGGACCAGCAGTTGGCGTAATGGCTATGTCGCTGGACTCCCATGTAGTCGACCACAGTTCGAGTCTTGGATCCTTAAACTCACATGGAGCGTGTATGCATGTGTGCCCAAGATCCCAAGAGAAGAATGGAGGAGAAGGGATTGTGGTGTGGCCATTTCCTCTGGGGAGTGATTTCTCTCTTTCTGTCTTTCTCTCTCTGTCTTTCCGACAAGCACACGCCCTATAGCAAAAACCTCTCCAAAAAATAAAAAATAAAAAAGACATTTAAAATAGCAGCAGGAGCCACCCACATGGAGACCTGGGGGAAGGGAAAAAACATTTCAAACAGAGAGAAAAGTAAGTGCACAGGAAAGAGACAGGAGCAAACTTGGCGTGTTAGAGAGCAGAGAAAGTCCAGTGCCATTGGAACACTGTAGTAAGCATGGAGGTGATGGTGGGTGAAGAAGCTGGGATATTTGAGGGCTTTCAATCAGGAACAGCCTTGAAGGCATCATAAGTTATTTTCAGGACCAGCAAATGGCATAATGGTTATATTGCTAAACTCCTCAATAGTCAACTACTGTTCGAGTCCCAGACTCGGCAACTTAAAAAACTCACGCTGGGTGTGTGCGCGTGCATACCCAAAATCCTGAGAGGAGAATGGAGAAGGAATTATGGTGTGGCCATTACCCCAGGGGATGATTTCTCACTTTCTGTTTCTCTGTCTCTCTCTCTCTCCGTCTCTCTGTGGAGCACACACACCCTATAGCAAAAATTTCTCTAAATCAATAAGTAAAACTTTAAAAAAATGGAGCCAGAGGAGACCAGCAGATGGAATAATGGCTACATTGCTGGACTCCCATGTAGTCAACCACAGTTTGAGTCCTGGACCTGGTGGCTTAAAACCTCATGCCAAGCCTGTGTGTATGTGTGCCCAAGATCCTGAGAGGAGAATGGAGGAGAAGGGATTGCAGCATGGCCATCCCTCTTGGGGGATGATTTCTTGCTTTCTGTCTCTCTGTCTCTCTCTGTCTTTCTGGCGAGTGCATGCATCCTTTAGCAATAACTTTCAAAAAAAAAAATGGAGCCAGATTCTTAAAAAGAAAGTTATTTTCACAAGAAGCTTCTGAAGAAGTGTAAATCGGGGAAAGATATAATGTTTGGGAGTTAGGGTGTGGAGTGGTAGCAGCTGAAATGGTGAGAAGTGATTGGATTTGGTACTGGGAAGAAGTGTCAAATAGAGTTTATTTTATTTGGGAGATGAAGAAGATTCTGAGTGGTGAGGAGGGAGTCAAAGTCAGCTTCTTGAAGCCAATAGAAAAGTCTGTTTTATTTTTCAAAAAAACCTACCTTTTTGTGTTACAGTTGGGACTCTCAACTCCTTGGCTTCACCTTCAATGACATGTTCATTCGCATCTCCACCCGCCTTCCCTCTGAGTACATCTATGGCTTTGGGGAAACTGAGCACACAGCTTTTAAGAGGGATTTGAACTGGCACACATGGGGAATGTTTTCCCGAGACCAACCCCCAGGGGTAAGGGCAGAGTGGGATATTTGTTTCTGCCTGTCTTTGTCCACATTTTGTGCTTTGTCTTCTGAGACCCAGCTTGGATGGTCACATTCTACTTTTAGACAAGTGGGCCACTTCTCAGGCTCCTTTGTTTCTCATGCATTTGACTTACTTCACAAAGAAGACTAGATCCATCTTAGCTATCAAATTTTTGTTAAGTTTCTTTCTCAGCCACACCATCTTTTAACCTCCTGTCATTTCTCCACATGCCTCTTCAGTACAAGAAGAATTCATATGGTGTTCACCCTTACTACATGGGACTGGAGGAGGATGGGAATGCCCACGGAGTGCTCCTGCTCAACAGCAATGCCATGGGTGAGACGATGACAGTGTCACTCCTTCCAGTAATTCTTGAGTTACCTTAGAATATGTTTGACCCAGCTGCCTCTTGAAGTCAAAATTATCACCTTGTGGGCAGTGTTTTTTGTTTTGCTTTGTTAAAAATCACATTAGAAGAGATAGCAAACTGAGAAAAAGTGAGCGCCAAATATTCTGGAGGTCAGCTAGTGGAAGCTACTTGAATAATTTGAGTTCATGATGAAACTATGGATTATAACACTTGTTCTAGATGTGACAGTGTAAGGAACATTTATATGCTATGTAGTAAAAAGGTGGGAAAAACATGTATGTAAAAACTGTCAACATCAAATAAGGTCCATCCTGAGTTTTCAGTTTTGTACCAATGTCAATGTCCTGGTTTCAGCAATGTACAACAGTCATGTAAGATGTTATAATAGGGAAAAGCTGCATGAAGGATACATAAGAACTCTCAGTACTATCAGTATTTTCACAACTTCTTGTGAGTCTTAAACTGTTCTTAATAAAAGTAGTAGTAGTTCTTTCTTCTTCTTTTTTTTTTTTAGAGGTTTTTGCCATACGGCATGTGCACTTGCCAGAGAGAGGGAGAGAGAGACAGAGACAGAGACAGAGACAGAGACAGTGAGAGTGAAAGTGAGAAATCACCCCATTGGGGGAAATGACCATGCTACAATCCCTTCTGCTCCTTTCTCCTCTTGGGATCTTGGGCATGCATGGATACTGCCTGGTATGCATTTCAAGCCACCAGGTCTAGGACTTGAACCATGCTTAGCCACGTGGGAGTCCAGCAATATAATCACTACCCCATCTGCTGGCCCCAATGATAATTTTAAAAGAGCACAGTGACAAAATATATAATATTTTATATATTTATATATTATATAGTATTATACATTTTATATAATAAAGTACACCAAAGAAAGAAAGTTCAGGAATGAGACCTCCATAGACATTCACTTAACTTCTTTCATTCCATACAGGAATAGTGCAAAAATCCATGCTCTTAGCACTCTATAGAAAGGAGGATGCAGGAGGGAGTGGTGTGAATTTCAGGGGTACTTCCTCAGCTTGAAGTTTTCCAGCATGGTTGGTGTTTTCCTGTATTTCCAGATGTGACGTTCCAGCCTCTGCCTGCTTTGACATACCGTACTACAGGCGGTATTCTGGACTTTTATGTGCTCTTGGGGCCGACTCCAGAGCTTGTCACTCAGCAGTACACTGAGGTAGGAGGGAATTCAATTGTGTTATTTATGTCGCACATTCTGCATGACAAAAACCACATACATTCGTATAAATCTCAACTGATAAATAGAATGGTTGATCTTTCTCAGAGGTAGGGAGATTATGGAGTAAGGAGAAATAAACACATTCCAGTAACCATTAAATTCATAGCATGTCTTAGCGTGGCAGAGTAGCAGAAATAGTAGTACCAGTGGTAGTGGTGAGACTAATGGTGATGGTGGTGGGGATGGTAATGACAGCTGTGTTGGTAGAGGTGGTATGGAGGTGATGGTGATGGTAGTGGTGGTGATAGTGGTGGTAATCTTGGTGGTGGTGGTGACAGCAAGAATGATTGTGTTGGTGATGGCAGTGGTGGTGATGATGGTAATGATAGCTGTGTTGGTAGAGGTGGTATGGAGGTGATGGTTGTGGTGGTAATCATGGTGGCAGTGGTGGTTGTGGCAGCAGCAATAAACACGTAATACTTAGAGCACAGCGCTGTTACTTATTGCATGCCGTAGCACTTACATCTAACAACATATGGAGTCCTCATGCAAACATTGTAAGGCAGATGCTATTACGATTCCCAATTTATAGATACAGAGGTTACTTAACTTTTTACCTATTTATTTACTTTTAAAAATTTTTGCTGTAGGATGTGTGCATTCACCAGAGACAGACAGTGAGAGGGAAAGTGAGAAACCACACCACAGTCCCTTCTCCTCTAGTTTCCTCTTGGGATTTTGGGGATGCATTCACACGTGCCCAACATGATTATCAAGCTGCCAGATCTGGGACTTGAACTGTGGTTAGCAATGTGGGAGTCCAGAGCCTTAACCACCACTCCACCTATTGACCCCGAGGTTACTTAACCTTTGCCCAAGGTAGTACAGCTAGCAAGCCTGGAACCTATACGCTGTCCTGGGCATTTTGCCCCTAAGTTCTGTGCTCTTAGCCAGTGAGCTAGCCTACCTCTAGGAATTAGAATAAAATCAGGTTTTTCAGAATTCCCAGAAAAGAACCTCAAGGTTAGCAGGAGGCTTTCTCCAACGTGTCTCCGTGACTCTGCATCCTCTCAGTTTCTCTTTCTATTTGAATTTGTTATCTAGCTTGGGGCATGAAAAACACTTGTTACTGCATGTACAACTTCAATATTCATGGCTTCTCCTTTTAGAAGATTAATATTTTCTGTCTATTTTCTAGTTGATTGGTCGGCCTGTGATGGTACCTTATTGGTCATTGGGGTTCCAGTTGTGTCGCTATGGATACCAGAATGACTCCGAGATCGCTAACTTGTATGATGATATGGTGGCTGCACAGATCCCTTATGTACGTGCTCAGCTGTGGTGAACTAGCTCTGAACCTTCTAATGCAGGTGTCTTTATATCTGGGTTCCTTTATTCTTTATGGGGTTCTATAAAGACTTGAAGTCCTTTTTCATGCAGTATTGCACTGAGACTCACCATAGCACAGTAATATGGGGCAAGGGGACCCTTGTCCTCATTTCATGGAGATGGTAGCCCAAAGAATCAAAGTGATTTGCCAAAGGAGGAGGTTCCAGGGTTGACTCAGAGAAGTTTTTCTATCTCATGCTTCTTTCTCTTTTCTATGACTTCAAAAAATTTGGTCCCCTGCAAAATCCTTGGTTCCATAGAATAAAAGAACTCCCAAATAGTAGTTTTACTTAATGAAAAAGTAACCATCCAAATTCAGTTGGACCATTGTGTGTGTGGATGTGATAGGTCCCAACACTTTGTGGGTGCTCAGCACCATGTTCCATCAGCTTTGAGCTAAACTGGTGGAAAATAGGGAAAACCCTAGGATGGGTTTCCCGAAGAAGTGCATATTAAAATCAACTCTGTCCTCCCTTGAGAACAAGAGGGTCCAATAATTAAAGAATCGGTCTCATGAACCAGTACATATTTAATTTATTCTACTTACTTTTCTATCACTTCTATTCATTTCTATGAATTGAAGGTGTATCAGATATTATTTCATTCAAAATAAGAAAGCTGCATCTGATGACCTCGCCCCCACCCCCAAGATTAAATTTCACAAAGCAATTACAGGGTTTTTTTTCTGTCTTTCTTTGCTTTGTAGTATATTTGCTGCCCATACCATACTAGTAGTGGGTAGTTAGCCTTATCTTCTCTGAACGTGAATCACCGATAGTGAGGGACTTCTCTTGAGGAACATAACTACAGTCATCCTTTGTATTAGCAGTTTACGGAGCACTCTCTCATTCCATGTTTTTATTTATCTTCACAGCAACCTTGGCAAAGAGGCATTATCATCCTATTCTCTGCCAATTTAGATATTTTCTATGTAATGACTAAAAATTTGAAAAATGAGGTGAATTTCCCAGAAGCTGTATGCAACAAGTGACAGAACTGTAATTTGAAAGTCAGCCAAAAAATCCCTGGAGTTCACCACTGGGTTGGGCAGGAAGTTCCTATAAGGGGCCATGAGTTTTACCACCAGCAGCTTCTCAGGTGCCTGTGTCCTCCTCCAGGACGTGCAGTACTCGGACATCGACTACATGGAGCGGCAGCTGGACTTCACCCTCAGCCCCAAGTTTGCTGGGTTTCCAGCTCTGATCAACCGCATGAAGTCTGAAGGCATGCGAGTCATCCTCATTCTGGTTAGTTTTTTCCTGAATGTGGGGAGTCTGTGAGAATGAATGGGTTTTGGTGGAGAAACCACTGTACTATCTTTTTTTCTTTCCCTGTTACAGGAAGAGAAATTCAAAAACAATTTAAAAGTCTATTTCCCAGGAGTTACAGAAACTCCACAGTTCAAGTGGAAGCTAGAGACTTTTCTGTGGAGGAGTTCTCTCTATGCCCCATCATTCTCTGGCTTTGGTTTTCCTACCGGACTTGTGCTTTGATTTCAGGACCCAGCCATTTCTGGCAATGAGACAGAGCCCTATCCTGCCTTCACTCGGGGTGTGGCGGATGATGTCTTCATCAGATATCCGAATGGTGGAGACATTGTCTGGGGAAAGGTATGATCTAAGTAGAAGTGGCCATCCCAGCCCAGGGGTGGGTCATTTGGTGTGTTCGTGTGTGTTGTTTTTTGGCTTTTCTATTTGAGCTCTGAGGTCAGAAGTTCTCATTTTCGTAATCAGTTTTTGGAAGTCCTTTTTAAGCAATGTGGTTGTATTGTGGAATCCACTTTTTTCCAAGGTCATGCCTACATGACAATCAAAGTATGTGAATACTCTCAGAAGTATGGTTTATAGTTTCTTAGGAAATACTATTAATATATAAAGGGAAATTATCTAATATATTTCTGTTGAACATTTTTCTTCTACAGGTCTGGCCTGATTTTCCTGGTATTGTCGTTAATGGGTCTCTGGACTGGGATAGTCAAGTAGAGGTAAAAGGCTCTTTGTGGATGGATGTTGGGTGAGGTCAGCGTTGCTAGAAAAGGACAGCCAAACTCAGGGGACTTAGTGTGCCTATACCATAGATAGGGACTCGGCCAGAAAGAAACCTAGCAGAGTGTGTCGTGGGAGTCAGTCTGTACCAGTTACTTCATGTGTAATATGACAGAACTGCAAAGAGCTTGTGGAAAAACGGAATGAAAGTATCAGTTTATTTTGGTGCAAAACTTTTTTTGAATCCTTAGTCCAGCAGGTGGCATGGTGGTTAAGGCATCTGAATCCCGTATGACTGACTGTGTGGTTTGACTCTGGGAGCCGATGGCTTCAAAAACACACTGGAAGCATGTGAGCTTGTGTCCAAAATCCTGAGAGGTGAATGGAGTAGAAGGGATTTCAGCAGGGCCATCCCTCCTGGAGAGTGATTTCTCACTTTCCCTCTCTCTTTCTCTCTCTCCATCTCTCTCTAGTGAGTGCATGTGCCCTATGGAAAACTTAAAAAAATTTTTTTTTAATCCATGCACACTGTTTCCTTAGCATGCATTTTCTATGAACTTTTGAAGACCCCTTGTACTTCACTCCCAATTGGGATTGGGACACAAGTATTATTATCCTCAGAATTTAAGACTCAGAGAGATTAAATTACTTGTCCATGGTTTTAGGTGATGAGAATGTTAATTTTAGATCCAAGACTTTCAAATTCTAAAGGCCCATGAAATTTCCACTGGATGACACTTCTGAAAAATACTATCTTTTCTCTGCATTACTAATACCATGGTTTTTAATACCTTGTTATTAGTACCATGTTATTAATACCTTGGTTATCTTTCCTTTTTTTTTTTTTTTGCCATGAAGTATGTGTGCTCACCAGAGAGAGAAAAAAAGTGAGAAATCACCCCTCCCCTTCCCCCACAGGATGTCCATACCACAATCACTTCTCCATTCTCCTTTCAGGATTTTAGTCATGCATGTACACATGCCCAGTGTGATTTTCAAGCCACCACATCTGGGATTCAAACCATAGTTGGCCATGTGGGAATCCTGTGCCTTAACCACCATGCCACCAGCTACCCTCTTATCCCCTTTCAACAGTCTATAATGCTTGTCTTCAGTGATTGGGTCTTTTTCTTTGCACATCATTTTTCATAGAAAGACTTCTCCACCTTCATGCATATAAATCTTGCCCCACCCTAATCCTTCTTTGAGTTTCTCAACTTTGCTTTTGACATCTTTTTCCAGCCTTATGGTACAACTTACTCTCTTCTGGGAACAGATTCTTGTGGTAATGGATCCAAGTAGCCCATGCTTCTGGACATGAATCCCTCAGCTTCACTAGGCGTTTGCTGCCAGAAGTCCACTTGGTTCCTTAGTGTCCAGGAAGCCTTCAACCTCATGCTCTGGCCATGATGTGTGCTCAGTGAACTGCCATCCTGTTTGCTTTGTTATTAATTGTTCTGATTCTGTGAGTGAAAATCTCAGGATGGGATTGGAGACCTTCTGGAGAGCAAATACCTTTCCTCCTTACCCTCTTTAGCTCTTCTTCAATGATGATTATTTTTTTCTGGACAAGAATTATAGCTGGGTATGGTAGCCTGTGTGCCCTCCATAGAAAAGTTGGAAAGACAAAAAAAAAAAAGACTTATTTCCCAGGGCAGGGCATCTGCAAGAGTTGAAGGGACCAGGAAGCTGGTCTCTGGGAGGTTAGCGACGTGCTGTAAGTGGAGTCTGCCAATTTTGCCTGGATCATTTATTAACTAGAGTATCAGTATTGTGGGAACAGAGCACAGCAGTTGAGAATTTATGTGTTAGTCACTCAGAAGTCAGGGACAAAAACTTTTCTTGGTAGGTCTTTCCATACAATGCAGTATTCTAGACAGTGGTCAGAGGAGCAGGGCACATTGTTAATCCTAGAGGAGAAGTCTTGACATTAGGCAGAGCTTGCATGGTCTGGAAACTAAGGACTCAGATCTGGATCAGCTCTGATAGAGTGGCAAGATTAGATGGCAAGCCAAAGAGATCAGTTGCCTAATGTCTCTGAACTCCTGGATCCGAAAGCCATCAGCCAGTAGTAGCACTCTAGATACAAAATGAGATGTCCACACTTGGGACCAGGCTGCTAGGCTCTTTGACTGTGAATCTTTATTTCCTGGCAGCAGAAGTAGTATTAAAACAGAAATTGACTGGAGCAGATTTTGAAGATTGGCAGGAATGATTCAAAGTTAAAGATTGTTTTCCTCTTGTCTACTACTTACTGAAAAAGTATCTCTCTCTATCATCTATCTCTTTTTCTATCATCTACCCATGTCTACTTATGTATCATTATCTATCTCTGCATATTTATCTATCATTTTTCTTTCTCTCTGTACATTTATCTATCATCTAGCTATGTCATATATCAGATAGGGGTTCAGGGAAGAGTACCTAGCTTCCTATTTTCTTCATTACTTCTCCCAGAGGATCACTTAAAGTTTGGTGGTCCTGGCAGTCCACCTGGACACAAGACCCTGTAAGTTCAGAGAAGTTCAAGGTCACGGGCTTCCTAAGTTCCAAATCTTTACACTGACAGAGGGGCCACTTCAGCAATCAAGGGCCTGCCTCCTACTGCCTTGTGAGGCCCACAGTTCATTGGCCATTAAGAGCAATACTGCCATATTGAGGGCATGTGAAGATCTGTGGGGCACTGTGGACTTAACACAGTTTCTGAGGAAACCAATTCCTGATCAATAGTGATCAGGAATGCTCGTACTCTGATTGCAAGGAGTCTCTACATCCTATTCTCTTGCCCCACATGCTAATCGTGCCTTGGATAAGAAACACTTCATTGAGGGTCATGAAATCTACTAGGTAGGCCATGAGAGACTCTCAACAGATGAAATAGTTATAACTATTGGGTTGTCAGAAATGTCATGACGCATTTTTGCATAGAAAACCAGAAAAGACACATCATGACTTTTCTGACAGTCCAATATTTATATTAATAAGATTCACTTGGTGAGACTGCTGGGTGTGAGGCTACTGATGTCCAGGTTAGGTCTCACTGAGTAGGCTATTAAAATACAAACACAAATAAACAGCCAGGGAGCATATGAAAAGCAGATTTCTAAATCTGAAGCTCAGAGATTTAGTTCAGAAAGTCTTGGGTAGGGTTCAGAAGCTGCATTTTGATAGCACATAGTGGACTGTGATAAGTGATCCTGGAGCAGCTAGGGAAGTCTCTGGCTGAAGACCAGGGAAAGTCAGGGCAGAAGTAACAAAGCAAGAGCAGGCTGTTGCCAGGAGGTGCAGAGCCAGCACCCTGAGAATGGCGAAACACTTTCACTACATGGGTAAGCATCACCTGAGTGACATTCGATGAGTTTGGTAAATTTTTTCATTGCGTCTCACAGGGGATGTAATTCTAAGACATGGTTGATATTGGCTCTATTTATTCTAACCCTCCTTCTCCCCACCCTATTCCGTTATTTCTAACCTGGCCTGAACTGGAGCTCTCAAACGTGTGAAAGTTTCTCTTTGTCTAGGTCCATGACTTCTACTTCCATTTTCTAATGAAAGTCCTCCTTGGCATCCCCAAGCCTCCACTGCAGGGTTCTCAGTGATGCAGCTTGCTACCCTCTGACTTTCCTGTGAGCCAGATCCTGTGTATACCGATTTGATTCTGTTTTCCTCTTGGTATTCTATTCAACCTGTATCTAGAGGTGTGGTTCCTACTTGCCTTTTGTGTCTTGTATAAAAGAACTGGAGTTCCCCTGGATCGAGCCCTCTTTAGGTTGTTCCCGTTACCACTGCCACTAGCATTACTTAGCTCTTTAATTCTTAAAATGCAGTGAATAGAATAAAGGAAGCTGTTCACTGAGACGTACAAAGGTCCATAACTTCCCATAACAGGTAGAGGGGGCATGTAGCAATTTATGAATATTTGCTACTTCTAAGTGATATGAATCCACAATTAAACACTAATTATTTGTTTATTTATTTTAGAGAGATTTTTGCTATAGGGTGTGTGCACTTATCAGAGAGACAGAGAGAGACAGAAAGCGAGAAATCACCCCCTAGGGGGATACTCACATAGCAATCCCTTCTCTTCCATTCTCCTTTTGGGACTTCGGGCATGCATGCACACATGCTTGGCATGAGTTTCAAGCCATTGGGTCTGGGACTTGAGCCACAGTCAGCTACATGGGAGTCCAGCGATGTAACCTTTATGCTATCTGCTGGTCCCCTTTATACTATCTGAATACTTATTTTATGTCAGTTTCTAAGCTAAGTACTGTGGGAGATATAAAGATTACTCAAAAAATATAAAACTATTAATAGCTCTTTGCTATTTATTTATGTATTTATGTATTTATTTTCAAGAAGTTTTTGTCTATAGGGGGTGTGCCCTGAGAGGTAAACAGAGACAGTGAAATGGAAAATGAGAAATCACTTCCTGGGGGGATGGCCATGCTGCAATTCCTTCTTCTCCATTCTCTTTCTGGGATCTTTGGCACACATGCACATGTACCTGGCATGATATTCAAACCACTAGGTCCAGGGCTTGAATCGTGGTTGAAAATTTTGGAGTCCAGCAATGTAACCTGCTGGCCCCAATAACTCCTTACTCTCTCTCTCTCTTTTAAAAGTAATTTTAAATTAATTTATTTAGTTATATTTATCCTTACTATTATTTTTTAAATTTGCTACAGGATATGTGCACTTACAAGAGAGAGGAGAGAAAGACACACACACACACACACACACACACACACACACACAGAGAGAGAGAGAGAGAGAGAGAGAGAGAGAGAGAGACAGTGAGAAAACAAGCTACCAGGTCTGGGACTTGAGCCACAGTCTGCCATGTGGAAGTCTAGTACCTTTACTCCCATGGGCCTCGCTCCTTGCTCTTAAAAAGCTTACAATATAGTCTCACTTGTCTATTTTTTGGGATTACTGCCTGTGTTTTAAGGCTCTTAATTTAAGAAATCTTTGCCAGGGACCAGCAGTTGGCATAATGGCTATGTTGCTGGACTCCCATGTAGTCAACCGCGGCTTGAGTTCCAGACCCGGTAACTTAAACTCACGTTGGATGTGTGTGCATGTGTGCCCAAGATCCTGAGAGGAGAATGGAAGAGAAGGGATTGTGGCATGGCCACCCCCCCTGGGGGGTGATTCTCGCTTTCTGTCCCCCTCTCTGTCTTTCTGGTGAGTGCACGTGCCCTATAGCAAAAACCTCTCCAAAAAAAAAAAAGAAATCTTTGCTTCATATCTTCAAAAGTTTCCCCTATAATTCCTACTAGTAGTTTTATAATTTGAGACTTTGTATTTGAATCTTTGATTCATTTTGAGTTGATTCTTATTAATGGTGAGAGACAGGGGTCCAGTTTAATTTTTCTGCAGGTAGATATCCAGTTCTTCCAGTACCATTTGCTGAAAAGATTTTCTCCACTGCATTGTCTTGTACCCTTTGTTCAATGTCAATTAGCTGTATGATTAGAGGTTTATTTCTGGAATCTTTATTCTGTTCCATTTGTCTATGGATCCATTTTTATTTTTGCCAGTATCATGCTATTCTGATTATCATAGCTTTGTAATATATTTTGAAATCAAAATAGGAGAAGACTCCTATTTTATTCTTTTGATTCTATATAAATGCTAAGATTGTTTTTTCTACTTCTTTAGAAAATTCCATTGATATTTTGATAATAATTGTATCAAGTTTGTAGAGCGCTTTGGATAGTATAGACGTTTTAAATAATATTAATTCTTTAAATCCATGAAGGCCACGCCACAATCCCTTCTCCTCCATTCTCCTCTCAGGATCTTGGGCATGCACGCACACGTGCCCGGCGTGAGTTCTAAGCCACCGGGTCCGGGACTCGAACCGCGTTCGACTACGTGGGAGTCCAGCGACATAGCCATTACACTAACTGCTGGTCCCTGCACAGTATTGCTTTGATGATATGGGATTATTTTATGATTCCAGATTAGTTTGATATATTTTTCTATTTTTTCTGAGGAATTTCATACTTTATGGCAAAAATTGAGAGATCTGAAAATATAATAGTGAGCATAAATGTGGATACCAGAGACTGTAAGGAAGGAGAGTGGATGGTACAGGGTGGGTGTCAGGTGCAAAGGGAAGAAATATTTAACAAAAAAAAAGTAAATTTATCTGTTGAAAAATTATAAGTATTTTATATACTGGGTTGCCAGAAATCTCTGATGCATTTTTGCGCAGAAAACCATAGAAAAATACGTCATGACTTTTCCAGTGACCTAATACATCATGATGGGAACCTTATATAAAATGTGAAATTAATCTGGGGTGGGGAAGGCTTACAGTATAGTTAAAGAGCTATGCCTTGGGTCTACTTTTCAAGTTAAAATAAAGGCATTGCTTTAATTTGAAGAAATATGAAGAGAAGGGGAGGTTGCAACTTTTTCTCTAAACCCTCCCAATTTATATTATAAATAATGGCCATTTTTATGTGCTTCCAAAACCATAGAAAACACAGATGCCTACTCATCAGTCTAATACCATGAGAGTCACTCCTCCCCACCCTAACTCCTGGTGAGAATAAAACAGGAGAGGATGGCCTGTTTCCTTCCAACCTATTGTACTGCATGTGTGGTGTCTGCCCTTCCAAGCTGCAGTCTCTCCCTGGCTAGTGCTCTATCTTTGAGGAGCACTTAGGAAATGGCAAGACAGAGTTGAGAGTTAACCATCGAATACCACTGATAGCAGGCTCACCTATATAGGGTGTTGATTGTTACCATTCATGTTGACATGAAGAGAAAAACAGTGTATGGAAATTCTCCAAATGCTGAGAAGGTATGTCATTTGTGTTAATTTATCCTCTTGCACTCAGTGGTTTTCTTTTTTAAAAAAATTTATTCATTATTATTATTATTTTAGTTTGACCAGAGAGAGACAGAGACAGAGAGGGGAAGTGAGAAAGTAAGCCACCAAGTCTGGGACTCGAACCATGGTTAGCCATGTGGGTGTCTAACCACCATACTACCTGCTGGCCCTGCACTCAGTGGTTTTCTAATAAGCCACAGATATTATTGAGGGTCCGTTCATACTATGTATCCACAAGTAGTACAGTACAGACCTTTTCATGAGTTAAGTTCTCAGTGAGTACCTATCGGCTTTCTGCTATATTTGGGACAAATGAACTATTCTTCATTTTCCTAGCAATACCGAGCTTATGTGGCCTTCCCAGACTTTTTCCGCAATTCAACTGCAAACTGGTGGAAGAGGGAAATGGAAGAACTGTACACCAACCCACAGCAACCAGAGAGGAGCTTGAAGTATGATGGCATGTGGATTGTAAGTGTATATATGTCTGTGTACACGTGGGCAACGGTGTGGGTGTATCTCTCTTTGTGCATTTAAGCATATGTATTGCTGACCTTTAGCCAAGAGGATAATAATCATCCAAGAAAGACTTTGGACATATCAGACAGTACTTTCCCTAGTCAGGACTGGAATAGCATTGGTATCCCTCACTCCCTGTACCTTGTCTGAAGTTCTTACTGTGAAACCTCCAAGGTGACAACTAGAAATTCCTCGGAACTTCACTGGCTTTGTACTCTGAGGGGGATGTTTTTAAAACACTGTGGTCAGTCATTCTGTACAGATTAATTGAACTTCCAGCTAATTCTCATCAGGATTTGATACACTTCTTGGTCTGGCATATATAAGGATTATGAGATGTTGAATAGTTTATTCACTACTTCGTTGTCTCTGAATTGACAGGATGCAATTACCTTAAGAAGTAAGCTCTGTCCCTGTTTGACATTTCTAGGATATGAATGAACCATCTAGCTTTGTGAATGGGGCAGTTCCTCCAGGCTGCAAAAATGCTACTCTGAACCATCCTCCCTACATGCCACGTAAGGACCCTTGGCCTCCTCTGCTGAGGGAGCTGTGGCTAGAAGGAAGATGACTACTGCAAGACCCAAGGTCCACCTCGACACGCACAGAGCATGTCCTCTGGGTCCTCATTGCTACTGTGGTTTTCTGGGGGCAGGGACAAAAGCACTTCCAGCACTTTACCCACTTGGGCATATGCACATTACCAGACTTGTTGGGTGAATTTCTCAAATTTATTCAGAAAGAACTTACAGTGTAATGTCTCCGAAGGATTTTCATGGCTAGATTTCTTGGTTGTTCTAGCTTACATTAATTCCTACACAGGAATCTGTTATTCCCAATGCATGGGAAGTAGTGGCTTGCCCTGTTTGTGGAGGAGATGGACTTTGGAGTCATGCTCATATCTTGGCTCTAGCAATTATTCACTCTGTGGGTTGTGTGACCTTCCACAGGTTACTGGGTATTTCCAAATCTCAGTTTCATAAATTGTAAAAGGCAGATAATGATATTTTCTTCACAGTATGATGATAAGAATTATATGAGGGCCAGCAGGTAGCTTGGTAGTTGAGGCACTGGATCCCACATGGCTGACTGAGTGGGTTAAGTCCTGGACCCACCAGCTTGAAAAGCACACCAGGCACCTGTGCCTGCATGCCCAAAATCCCAAGAGGAGAATGGAGGAGAAGGGATTGCAGTGTGACCATCCCCCCTGGGGGGAGGGATTTCTCACAGTTCCTCTCTCTCTGTCTCTCTCTAGTGAGCACATGTACCCTATGGCAAAAATTTAAAAATAAAAAGAATGGCATGCAATAATTTGCACATTCAAAGCCTAGATCACAGCCTTCACACAGTGCTTAACAGCTGCATATTCTTTCCCAGACCTCTGCTTTCTCCAACAAACTGTTGAAAACACCTGCAGGTGCCATTGCAGCTCAAAGCTGAGCACTGTTTTTATGCTGCTGAGAAGGAGAAGAGGGATCCATATAAGGATCAAATTGGTCTTAAGATCTAGCGTTCATCCCTTGAAGAGAGGTCAGGGATAAATAAGATTAGGACTGGTTTTCACATCACTGGATCTTTCCCTTTAGATCTGGAGTCGAGAGACAGGGGCCTGAGCAGCAAGACCCTGTGCATGGAGAGCCAGCAGATCTTGCCCGATGGATCCCTGGTGCGGCACTATGATGTGCACAGTCTGTATGGGTGGTCCCAGACCAGACCCACATACGAGTGAGTCACTGCTCTTTACCATTTGGTATAGCCTACAGGGACGGCCACTGACTGGAATATCTGCCCTACCTTTCCTTTCATTCCCTGTTCTAAGGGGTTAAGAAGGTTTTAACTGCTGCGACATAGCAATTCTTGTTTATTAAGCAATCACTTATTAAACATGCAGCCAGGTCCTGTCTTTATAATTAAGAGGATAGATTTAAATAACAAATGACCCTGCCAGTGAGGAACTAATAGTCCAGTGGGAGAAACGGACATGGAGACATCGATAAATATTACACAGTGCAACTGGTGCTGTAGTAGCTGCATCACAAGAGGCAAAGGGAACACAGAAGACTGGACAGCTCTCTTTCATTTCAAAAGTAAATCATCTCTAGTAGGATTTCTTTCCCTCCCTTCCTTCCTTCCTTCCTTCTTTTCTTTCTCTCTCTCTCTTTCTTTCTCTTTCTCACTCTCTGTCCCTTCCTCTCTCCCTCCTCTTCTCCCTCCCTCCCTCCCTCCCTCCCTTCCTTCCTTCCTTTCTTCTTTCTTTTTACCTTTCTTGTACAGTCTATGAATGTTCTACTCAATTAGCTCAGTCCCATTTTGTGAGGTCAATGAATATTATGCATTATCTTAAGGAAAGATTTATCAAACCTTTCACCCTCTTCTTTCTGAAATATAGAAAACCAAGTATTGAATAAATAAATCATAAGACTTAGTGACTTCTTACAATTTGGGGGCAATCCAGTGAGTTTACTATAGATAGAGTTCTCTGTAAAACACAATGAAAAGACATGAATTATCTCCATCATCTGGAATCAGTCAATGGGGACTGCATATAGACTGGATTTCCATATCCCCTCCAATCATGCTGCAAACATCTGGTTACCATGCTCTTGACTCGAGAGCTCTGGGGGGTGTGGTAGAAGCTCTATGACCTTTTGTCTCCTGCTCTACTCTCAACTCATCTCCTTGTTCCCCTCCAACCAGAGCCGTGCAGGAGGTGACAGGACAGCGAGGCATTGTCATTACCCGCTCCACCTTCCCCTCTTCTGGCCGCTGGGCAGGACACTGGCTGGGAGACAACACGGCTGCATGGGACCAGCTGAAGAAATCAATCATTGGTGTGTGGGCTTGTTCCCAGGCCTTTGCTGGCAGAGAAGGGAGTTAGGATCTTGGTAAAGGAGGCAGGTCATGGGAACTTGGTTTGATGCAGCCATTGTTCTCATTGCAGGCATGATGGAGTTCAGCCTCTTTGGCATATCCTATGTAAGTGTCCTTTGCATCCCTCCTAATCAAGAAGATGGTGATATCTTTCATAAATCATCAACAGGCTTTTGTCACTTTTTCTTGCTTCAGACAGGAGCAGATATCTGTGGGTTCTTTCAAGATGCTGAATACGAGATGTGTGCCCGCTGGATGCAACTAGGAGCCTTCTATCCCTTCTCAAGGAACCACAACACTATTGGAACCAGGGTAAAAATTAGCTCCTACCCCAACTGTTTTGTGTCACTTGAAACACAACCTACATATGTGAGCTACAAGTAATGCAGCCCCCTAGGGACATCTTCAGAATTGTGAATCCTTATGCCTCAATGGACCATATTCCTAAGTACTTAGATTATTGTGTTCATTTAAGCAGAATTGAGCCAAACATATCCCAAGAAGAATGTCTTATGTAAAGAATTTATCAGGTACCCTGGGAGACCTTCTGTGGCCATTTCCAGTCTATTAAGAATATTGGGCCAGCAGATGGCTTGGTATTTAAGATGCTGGATCTCACATGTCTAACTACATGATTCGGGTCCTGGACTCAGCAGCTTTAAAACCTTTACTGTAGGCACATGAGTATGTGTGCCCAGAATCCTGAGAAGAGAATGGAGAAGGAATTACAGTGTAACCATCCCCTCGGGGGGGGGTGGGGGGGTTACTTCTAACTTTCCTTCTCCCTTGTTCTCTATGCCTTTGTATGCACCCTATAGCAAAACACTAAGGAAAAAAAAAGATTATTCTCTGTGTCTCGTCTATAATTTTCTTTAGTTTAGCTGTTGGCAATCTTCATTTGGAACAAGCCTTCAGTTTCTTAGATCCCCTAGGGTGAGCTTCACATCCTCTTCTTTTTCTCCTTTAGAGACAAGACCCTGTATCTTGGGATGCTAACTTTGTGAATATTTCCAAGAAAGTCCTACAGACCAGATACACTCTGTTGCCATATCTCTACACCCTGATGCACCAGGCCCACACTGAGGGCATCACTGTTGTGCGGCCTCTTCTCCATGAGTGAGTATCTAGCTGGGACCTACATGACTAATGGATAATTGATTTTATTCTGGGGGGTGCAATTGGGGCAAATGCTTCTTTTAAACTGAAAATGTGATGGCTTTTTGGCATTAGTTTTCTGGGCATAGACCATAATATACTACTCCCCTTAGCCAGTGAAGAGTACCGTGTTACACAGAATAATTTCTTTCTAATTGGCCGTGTGAAGATCTATATCTATCTATCTATCTATCTATCTATCTATCTATCTATCTATCTTTTGTAGCAGTTTGACTATGTGGACCCAGGTAAAAATGAGCTCAGGTCACAAAAGAAGGCATGGGGGGTGAATTTGAAGAACAAAAGCTGTTTTTGCATTTTAAATGTGCCATGCATGGTTAAGAAATATGGAAATATTTTATAGTAGAGAACATACTTAAATCCAACCATTTCTGATGTTCAAGGAAAGTGGCAGATAGAAAGTAGGGGCTGTGTGTTCCTTGTTAAGTGAGACCAAGGGTCAGTGTGAGGATTGCAGCTGGCTTTCTGACTTAGATCTGAACTTAAGGAATTTCCTTGGGACCTGGGGCTGGGGCCTGTTGGGGCTCTGACTGTGGACCTTGGTTTCTCTTTCCAGGTTCGTGACAGACCGAGTGACCTGGGATATAGATAATCAGTTCCTGCTGGGCCCAGCCTTTCTGGTCAGCCCTGTCCTGGAGCCTGTGAGTATGGAGGCCTGCATGGGTGGAGGATCCCAGCTGTGGGCCTACATAAATAGAAGTAGGAGAAGAGGCCTGGGGGGAGCAGGGTTTCTGAGACATGGTTCTTATTCTACCTCTCTCTCTCTCTCTCTTTTTAAATATATTTATTTTATCTTTTGTAGCAGTTTGACTATGTGGACCCAGGTAAAAATGAGCTCAGGTCACAAAAGAAGGCATGGGGGGTGAATTTGAAGATCAAAAGCTGTTTTTGCATTTTAAATGTGCCATGCATGGTTAAGAAATATGGAAATATTTTATAGTAGAGAACATACTTAAATCCAACCATTTCTGATGTTCAAGGAAAGTGGCAGATAGAAAGTAGGGGCTGTGTGTTCCTTGTTAAGTGAGACCAAGGGTCAGTGTGAGGATTGCAGCTGGCTTTCTGACTTAGATCTGAACTTAAGGAATTTCCTTGGGACCTGGGGCTGGGGCCTGTTGGGGCTCTGACTGTGGACCTTGGTTTCTCTTTCCAGGTTCGTGACAGACCGAGTGACCTGGGATATAGATAATCAGTTCCTGCTGGGCCCAGCCTTTCTGGTCAGCCCTGTCCTGGAGCCTGTGAGTATGGAGGCCTGCATGGGTGGAGGATCCCAGCTGTGGGCCTACATAAATAGAAGTAGGAGAAGAGGCCTGGGGGGAGCAGGGTTTCTGAGACATGGTTCTTATTCTACCTCTCTCTCTCTCTCTTTTTTAAATATATTTATTTTATTTTTATTTTTTTTAGCTAATCCACTAGTTAGGTGTTCTGGGCTTCAGCTCCCTCATCTCTAACATCAGCCTAACAATTCTAGCTCATAAGACAATCAAGGAAAAGACCTCATGATATACATATTTTAAGATTAATCATTTCTTTATTAACTCATATAAGGCATACAGGGCCAGATAGAGGCAGTCATGTAAAGAATTCATTATAGTTCTCTATCATCAATAAAACAAAACTTCCCAGGAAAATCGCTTACAGCAATGTGTGTAATCTTGTTGCTGCTGGCTAGGCACTCCTTTCCTTCCTTCCATAAGGGATCCCCGAGGTGGCAGGAGTCATTCCTTTACTTTCTCTGTTGATATCTAGGCTTCTGGTTAAAATACCAGCTAATTGTACCCTCCAAAACTCACATTGTGTCTATAAAACTTTCTTCTGTCACAGACTCAACTTCAGTTGTCTCTCTCTTTGGAGAGAGTATGGGACAAATCTGTAAGCAAATAGTGAATTCCACTCCTGCCTCCCACCCCGAAGTCCTGGATCCCAAAGAACTATGGAAGCCACTCGTTTTGAGTAGGCAAATCTCTCCTGCTTGAAAAGGAGGAAGGGAAGGAAGGTCTTCCTGACATGTGGGACTCTAGAGAGATAGAGAGATGAGGCAAGTGGGTCTAAGGCTATTGCTGTTGTTTAAGCCCCTCCCCTATGCAAATTGGTTGCTTTGTCTTAGATAACAGTGCCCACAGCCTGCACCTTGTTTGTGTTTATCTTTAGAATGCCAGAAACGTCACTGCATATTTTCCTAGAGCCCGCTGGTATGATTACTACACGGTAAGTCTTTCTGAATATTTATACAATCTGAGAGAATGGCAGCGTGCAGTCTGTCCTTAAGGCGGTACTATGTTAAGACACTGATACATGCTTTCCAGCCTGGGCTCTTCTGGGAAGGAGTAGCCATCACTCTTCACGTGAGCCTAGCCTCTGTCCTGAGTTCACATGTCGACTGTCCCTTTCACTCACAACAGAAGATAGCTTTGGAAAGATGAAAGAAATCATTCAAGAAGCCTATAATTGATGGTGCAAGCTACTTAGAAATAAAGAAAATTCTAATGGTTAATTAAAGTGAAAATGTCATAGTTGAGATTAATAAAAAATATCTCCTTAATTGAATTCATAAGTTTGGGGTACCTATTCCCTGTTTTAGGTCAGAGGTTGACAAATTATGGCCAAGAAACAAATCTGGCTCTCAACTGTTTTTGTAAATAAAGTTTTATTAGAAGACAGCCACGTACATTTGTTTACTAGTCAATAGTAAGTGCTCTTACTTCTGAGGAGGCAGTTCTCAAATGGAGGGATTTTTGTCAACTGGAGGTCATATGGCAAGGTCTGGAAACATTTCATGTTGTCATAGTGGGATTGAGGCTGGGGTTGGGGTTGGGGAATTGCTACTGGTGTCTAGGGGGTAAACACTGAGGATGCTGCTAAACATAAAAAACATGCAGGCAACCCTAGAAATTATCTGGCCCAAAATGCCAATAGTGAGGAGACTGAGAAGCCCTACTCTAGTTGAAAATGAGTAAGTCCCATAAGAACTAAGGTTTATTACTCAGGTGAGAGAGAGTACCTCTCTGTGTCACATGTGAGGTAAGGTAAGGTGTCAAATATAAAGGCAGATTAAGTTAAAGGGAAGGTTTGTAGGGTAAGTCAGCTCACTTCACTGTTTCCAGTTACATATTAATCAAAGGTGTTGGTTAAGTTGATGGAAGCACTGAGGGGAGATGGAGAGAAAGTGAAAAGAGAAGGTCTAGAAATGCCATTGTGGACAGTGTTAGGATCCAACAAGCAGTGAATGAAAGGATTGTCCAACCTCCTCTAGATGTGCTGTGTGAAACAGAAGCACACTGAGGGGTGGAGGTCTGCTGTGATCCATGCCACTATATCCCATGTTTTATAGATTGTATTGTAGAAACCCCAAAAGCAAGGGTCCCTGACAAGATGTTATAGCAGCAAAGCAAAATTTCATACAGCATCTGAGTGAGTATGGGAAGAGTAATCACAGGTGTGCACTGAAGGGGGATAAACAGGCCAGTCTAGAGGGGTGGGTGAAATGCCTGGTTTAGGAAAGGGTGTCCTCTCCCTCATCAGCTCTTGCCTTCTTCTGGCCGACAGGGTGTGGATATTAACACAAGAGGACAGTGGAAGGCCTTGCCAGCCCCTCTTGACCACATTAATCTTCATGTCCGTGGGGGCTACATCCTGCCCTGGCAGGAACCTGCACTGAACACCCATCTAAGGTAAATGGTGGACCTCTGGTTCTCCTTTACACACCACGTATCTCAGCAGTTTGTAATGAAGCCCACTCGCATGTGAACATCACTCTCAACCCCAGAAGCAATTGTACTAAACACTCATTGTTTTGTTTGCTTGTTTGTGTTTTAATCTTTTTCAAACTCTGTACTCTTTGAACAATTATTGACAGCTATTTTAGATCAAGTGGGTGATATGATAGATCTAAGAAGTGACATTTGGGATAGTATAATGGTTATGTCACTGGACTTCCACGTAGTCAACTGTGGTTTGAGTCCTAGACCTGGCAGCTTAAAACTCATGCCGGGCTTGTATGTGTGTGTGTATGTATGTGTGTGTATGTGTGTGTGTGTGCCCAAGATCCAAGAGGAGAATGGAAAAGGAATTGTGGCATGGCCATCACCTCTGAGGATGATTTCTCTCTTTCTGTCTGTCTCTCTCTGTCTCTCGGGCAAGTGCATGCAACTTATAGCAAAAAAATCTCTCTCTCAAAAAAAAAAGGTGACATTTGAAATGCAAGTCAAAATAGAAGCATTCTTGATTCATGATAGTTTTAGAAGCATATCTGGATTTTAATTGACTCTTCCCTAAGAAAATGTTTGTTGAAAAATTGGTTAAGTCGTTTTATAACTGATACCCAAGGTTGAGATTTCTCGTGTATAAGATTTAAAAATTTGAGGCCTAAGCCTATATGATAACAAATAACTAACATCAAGTGAGCATTGCTCTGTACATAGAACTGTTTTAACATGGGGATTTCTATTTAGAGACTATCTATTTTTGCTTAACAAAAGAAAAATTAAATCTTGTGAGGTAAAGATTGTCGCTGCCCCCATTCCACATAGAGAACAGAGAAAATTTAAGAGTCTAAGTGATTTAATCAGTCACACAGCTAGAAAGTAGATAAGTAGGGGATAAGGTTTATGTCCCTCTATTAGCAATCATAAAATGTTAAACTCCCTATTAATTTGATTCTACAGACTCAAAAGCCAAATATTTAGGACATTTGTAAACCAAACTCGCTGTACATGCTTTAGGAAATTAATTCATGAAAGTAAAGTAATTATAGCATTAGGATTTCCCTCACAAAGGGGGAAGGAGAAACCCAATTATTTGTTTGTAATTTCTTTTCTTATAAGAATTAATTAATTATTTAATTTTAATTTTTCGGGGAGAGAGAGAGAGAAAGAGGAAATTTGTGAAAGCAAACTATATGGTCTGGGTCTTGAATGTGTGGTTGGCCATGCGAGAGTCCATTGCCTTAACCACCATGCCACCTGCTGGCCCCTGCTTGTAATTTTTTTTGTTTTTTGAGAGGTTTTTGCTATAGGGCACGTGCGCTTGCCAGAAAGACATAGAGAGACAGAAAGAAAGCAAGAAATTCCCCCCCGCTGGGGGGGGGGAGGGCCATGCGGCAATCCCTTCTCCTCCATTTTCCTTTTAGGATCTTGGGCACACATGCACTTGCACCTGGCATGAATTTAAGTCACCAAGTCTGGGACTCAAACTGTGGTCAACTACATGGGAGTCCAGTGACATAGTCATTATGCCATCTTCTGGTCCCATGCTTGTAATTTCTTCAAGAGCCTTTACAGAAAAGTCCCCTTGAGTCTTTCATTCACTCATTCAATCATTCTGACATGAAGTCATGCTGCTGATGGAGGTAGAACTGGAAGAAGGGTGGAAGTGTCTCGAAGTCTGTCATCTAGTTTTCAGTCCCTTGAGGCACTTCCTTTGCTCTTTTATATTTTTATGAAAACCCTTGTTTTTCAGTGTGGCTATGTTTTTGGCTAATGTCTCCCTCCTTCCTCACTGCAGTCGCCAGAAATTCTTCGGCTTCAAGGTTGCCTTGGATGATGAGGGAACTGCTAAGGGCTGGCTCTTCTGGGATGATGGACAGACCATTGGTGAGCAGGAGTTGCCTGAAATCCATGTCTTTACCACTGACAAAGTCCCTATATATCTAATAGCCTTGCTTTTCCATCTTCCATGTTAAAGCAAGTTCGCATTTTTCATATAGTCATTTATCACTTCAAATGTATAATCCATGTTGCACATAATCCTTATACGTCATGAAATGAAGCTTAGTTCTGAATATACTGTTGAGTAATTTACCATTACTCAACTGCCCATGTCCATGTGGAAGGCAGCAGCATGGGGGCCATAGTATCATCAGCCCAGATAAACTTGTACATGATTGGTCGAGGACACACTCCCTAACTATACAGTTTACTGTCCCAGTAAGAGGTTCAATGTCTCTATAAGTTGTACTGTTTATTTTGAGAATGTCCCATTAGGGGAATTGATAAACTCTCAGAAGGAAGATTCAACCATCACTAGCAATTTTAGACCAGTTCTGTCCATTTGAACTTTCTACAATGATAGAAATGTTCTATATCTTCTGCTGTACAATAGGTAACTATTAGGCATATGTGACTATTGAGCACTTAAAATTTGACAAATGCGTCTGAGAAACTGAGTTTTAAATTTTATTTAATTTTAATTAATTTAAAATTAAGAAGCTATGTTTTGCTGGTGGCTACTGTCTTGGACAGCACAGTCATAGAGGATAACCAATGGCTACTGAGTGAATGGTGAGTAAATCAGAAAAAGAGTAGCATGTAGGAAATAGAGAGAAAGCCCCAGGGAAGTATGAGAGGCAGGATGAGAAAACCTGAAACAAGGCTTCTGATTAGTCCACCTGCACTGGATATTCCTAGCTTCATCTGCTCCATGGGTCAATGACATAAATAAAGAGTAAAGGACAAAGAAATCTTTTCTTTGGCTTTCCTTATTCTCTGGAGATCACATTTTAACTAATAACTCTCAAGATAAACCCATCAAGACCTCAGTCTCAGAGTTTGTGTATGTGGGTGCACCTGCATATATATGCACTTATGTGTGCATCTAGCAAAAGTAATCTGGAAATTTTGAGGTGGCATGGAAAATTTGGGGGATAGTAGACCAAAAAGAAGAAAAGAATTTGAAAGTGGAATTAGGAAACTGTATTATACAAGGTGACTGTCGAACATTTTGTATAAACTGAGATCCGGTGCAGAGTCTTATTAGCCTTCACAAAGAGGCTACAAAACAATAGCCCCCTTTTTCATATTACAAAACAGTACTCTGTGAAGGAGAAAATTGAGATTAAAACTAAAGTGATCCCTACTCTCTGAACCAAGACAAGCAGGCAGTTAGAATTCTCACTGCAGGGCGAGGTCCTATTTACCTTGTTGTTCGTTTCCAGATACCCATGGAAAAGGACTCTATTACTTGGCCAACTTCTCTGTCAGCCAGGTGAGTGTGACTGATACTATGATGGAAAAATAGAGTTCTAGTAGCTTAGTAAATTGCTGAATAATGTAAGGGCATAAAACACCACCTAGCGTTCCTTCTCTGCTCATTTGGTAATTCATATCCTCCCTTTCCTATAGACTGCAGGTGATTTACTATGCTTCCAGGCAGTTTTTTATGGTTAAACATATTCATAATTAGTTAGAAACTTATTCTAGTTTATCATTTCACAGATATTTCTGTTTTTCTAGATTTCATTTTTGTGTTGCTTTGGAATGTTCTGCACATTTTGTGACTTCTCCACCTGTAGAATTTAAGTAGCTTTTGGTAGCTGAGACTGTCTCTGATAGAGTTCAGGGCAAAGCCAGAGACTTTGCAGGTGCTTGTTGATGCAACGTAGATGATAGTTGGCAATAGGAGATAGAGTGCTGAAATCATGTCTCTACCAACCAAGGACCCACGACAGTATCTCTTACATTATCTTACATCGTGAGCTACATTTGTGCCTAAAAATAGGTTGGGAAGATTTTGAACTGATTTGAACTAATTTTGTTTTATTTTCCCCTTTTGGTTTCTTTTATCTTCAATTGAACAGAATGTAATGGAGAGTCATGTAATTTTAAACAATTACATCGTCGCTACAAACCCTTTGAAGCTGGGCTACATTGAAATCTGGGGAGTGGGAAGTTTCCCCATTACCAGTGTCAGCATCTCTGCAAGTGGCACGCTTATAACACCCACCTTCATCCACAGCTCAGTAACACAGGTTTGTGACCAGCAAAGAGTCCAAATGATGTTTCCCAGACCCTGTATGCTTGGTGCAATGCTTGACTGTCTTCCTTCTGCATGGCACCCTCTCCTGCAGAGCCCATCGTGAAGCCCTGCTTGTAGTGTGTCAGCAGTGAACAGCATGGGGACAAAGGGGAAGTTCATGGTTTATTAGCATTTGGAATCAAGAGTCTGGATCCTTATTTACCTGTCTTCTTGTCTGCAAACCTATGTAAACTATGTCTTTACTCCCAGAGATCAACTTTTCAAATAACATGAGCTACCATAGTTCATGAAATATAAGGCATCATCAGTTACAAGTTGCTCCCTCATTTCACATGCCATGAAGAAAGGATGACAAAATGATTGCATAAGACAGTCATATCACTCAAATGTTTTATCTGAAACTTATACAAAGCTTTATGAAGCTTGTATAGATCTATTGATTTTTAATCTAAATACTTTAGTGGTTTTTTTTTCTTCTGAAATTTTTTTTATTAATTTACATTCATTCCCTGAGCATCATCACAACATTCTAAATGTGGTTTCCCATCTAGAATATACTGTATAGTGGCTTAATAATGCATGTTATCATCCATAATATTCCATTTCTACTTTCATATATATGTTTTTTACCCCATGTCTAGCCCTCTGCCCTATTCCATTCTCTTATTACACTATCTCTGCTGTCTACAGTTGTCTTCAATCCCTTTTCCCCCAACATTTCGTTGATCACACAATATCATAAGTAATCTAACTACTTTCAATAGCAAGATCAGCCGATGGTTTCAAGAAAAGCAGTTTTGAACTGGTAAGGATATTTCTTTGAAACTTAAAGCCTATAAACAGGTTAGTATTCTGTTCAAATAATAGGAACATGAATCTATTGATAGCTGAAGACAGGACAAAAATCCTTAAAACCAGACAACAAAGCTTAGAAGAAAAGCAGCAATATTTTAGTCAAGTCATAGAATACTGTTTCATCAGTTCAGTCTCATGTACTTAATCTTTCTTCTGTATCTGTTGAGGTTCGGCAGTGTTTTAAGTGATAATATAAAGGAAAATGTTTCTGGAAATACCTTGATGATTCTGCATCAGAGTAATGTAGTAAAAGTAGACCCTACATGTGAAGAAGTATTACAAATTCCTTAACCAGCCCAGCCACCATAGTGCAGTCTGCAGGGTGACACCGTGGGATAGTAGACCCACAATGCAAAGCCTGGTTTTGGATCCTGAGTTAACCAGAATACATAAACACATCTGTGATCCTTGCTGGCTGGGAGACTGGGGAGGATCTCAGTGTGGTGAGATACTGTCAAGGGTATCTGTTAATCTCTCTCTCTCTCTCTCTCTCTCTCTCTCTCTCTCTCTCTCAAAAATAAATAAATAAATGAACTATCAAAAATAACACAAAAGTAGAGATGGAAGAAGTTAAAGGGAAGTTAAGGCTGCCTGGCCTGAGCTGATTGCCAAAGACTACCACCTTACTTTCTACCTGTCTAGCTCAGGCTCTAGCCACATTGGGATGAGAGAGCTTTGGGTATACAAGAACCAGATACCTGAAAACAGTGACACTTTGGAGGAATTTTCTCCTTACAATGCCCCTTGCTCCAACACTGAGAAATAAAGGAGAGAAACTCCCCTCTGAAAATCTGAACCCAAAACTCCCACTGTGGGTACCACACTCCCACCCACAGTAGAGGAGGCAAACTGGCACAGAGCTAAACACACATCACAGGGAGGCACACAACTACAGAAACCTACTCCAAAGAAGTAGGAAGAAGCGAATATATCCCCAGATGACTAAAACCCAAAGCAAAATCCCAAGAAATATGAGAAAATCAGGAAATACCCCTCCCTAAAAGAACACAATAACTTCTTACCAACAATGGATAAAACAAGTGATCACAAAAATGTCAGATAAAGGATTGAGGATACTAATCATAACAAAACTCAATGAGATGCAAGAAACAACAACCAATTCCAGGAGATGAGAAAATCTTTTCCTTGTAGGAGAAACTATATAAAGTGATGAACACCTTGAAAAAGAATCAAATAGAACTTCTGGAGATAAATAATAAAATGCAGGAAATCAAAATCTCCCTCAGGGACCAGCAATTGGCATAGTGGCCATGTTGCTGGACTCTCATGTAGCTGACCGAGGTTCGAGTCCCAAACCCAGTGACTTAAAGTCATGCCAGGTATGTGTGCATATGTGCCCAAGATCCCGAGTGGAGAGTGGAGGAAAAGGGACTGTGGCATGGCCATTCCCCCCGGGGGGTGATTTCTTGCTTTCTGTCTCTGTCTCTCTGGCTAATGCATGCGCCCTATAGCAAAAAACTCTAAAAAAAAAACCAAAAAACAAAAAACCTCCCTCAAAAGTATTAGCAGCGGATTAGACCATGCAGAAGAAAGACTCTCTGAATTTTAAGACAAAAATCTCTGATTTAGTCCAAGCAGCTAAAATGAAGGGAAGAATAACTATTAAAAATGAGGACAAGATAAGGGAAATCCTAGACACAATTAATTGGCCAAATTGTCTCATAATAGATATTCTAGAAGACAAAAATAATTAAAAGCATAGAAAATTTCTTTCATGCTATATTAGCTGAAAACTTTCCAAATTTAGAGAGGCATATGGACATCCTAATCTATAGGAAATATAAAACCATCAAGTAGATTTAACATAAAAAAATTCTCTGCTGGGGGAACCAGCAGTTAGCGTAATGACTATGCTGCTGGACTCCCATGTAGTCGACCACGGTTTGTGTCCCGGACCCGGTGGCTTAAAACTCATGCCGGGCACTTGTGCGTGTGTGCCCAAGATCCCGAGAGGAGAATGGAGGAGAAGGGATTACGGCGTGACCATCCCCCCTGGGGGGTGATTTCTTGCTTTCTGTCTCTATGTCTCTCTCTGTCTGGCTGGCGAGCGCACGCGCCCTATAGCAAAAATCTCTCTCAAAAAAAAAAATTCTCTGCAAGGTACAGCATAGCCAAATTGTTAAAAATCAAAGATAAAGACAATATTCTAAAAATGGCAAGAGACAAATGCCCAGTTACTTACGAAGATTATCCCATTAGACTAACACCAGGCCCCTCAAATGAAATAATGCAGGCAAGTAAAGACTGGGAAGGCATATTTAAAACTCTGAAAGAAAAACAGTTTCAACCAAGAGTACTATACTGGCAAGATTAGCCTTCAAATGGCAAGGAAAAATAAAATTATTTCAAGATAAAAGCTAAAAGAATTCACCAAAACTAAATTAGCTCCTCAAGAAATACATAAGGGAATAATGTTTTACACAAGTTTTCATTCTATTATGGTCTTGATTTTACTATATATCTCTTCCTAAAAAAATCGTTAAATGGCTTCCCTAACGGTGGTGATAGCAACGGAGTCCACACATGCACAGATGATAACAGTTATGGCATGAGCGCTGTCTGGCTCACAGGAATGCTAATTCCTACTTCATGGATGTTAAATGGTAAGAAGGCATTCTTTCCAATGTGTTTATTAGTTGTTTCTCTGCAGTAGTTGCATATTTCATTATTTAAAGGTTATCTCTATCACTGAATAACTTTGGTAATCTAAGGAGTTAGGAAACCCTTGAAAATTTGAGAACATTCTGGCAACTAGACAATGAATTGTGAAAGTATTAGGTGGTTATGTGAACATTGACTTGAACCTGATTTATTTTGTGCAGAAAAATCTCAAAAACTAGACGCTTAGTGCCTTTCCTGTGGTTCTCAACAGGTGTTGAGCATCGACCTGACTAAGGAAAACCTCAGCCTACATAATTTCAATTCACTGACGTGGGGAAGCAGCCTGAACTTCTGGGACAATATCCAGCCATGAACAACTTCAGAACTATGTCTACTAAAGGCTTATGTTGTGCTGATTTTCACCCAGTATGGGTAAAATGTTTTGTTAATTTTGTTATACTTTTTTGTCTGTGAATCCTAAAAGTTGAATCTTAGCCCTGTGGGGTAGGCAGCTGGAAGATGTGGAAAATCTATGGGTTACCTTAATGTCTCTACATGATTAGAAAAGTACTTCTGGTTCATCATATGGCATTGGCTGAAGATGAACTGGATCCATAATGAAGTTTGTGTATGTGTAATCATGGAACAAACCCTCGTCTTTTGCTAAATGCCTAAAAAAAAGCTTGTCAATACTATTCCATTTCTTGAAGCCAATCAATGCTTCAAGAAAGTGTTGAGGAAGAAAACCTGCTAGTTGTTTATAGGGAGCTATATGCTGACAGCATGATGTAAAGGGAAGAAAGGCAAATGCAAGGAAAGGTAAGCAAGACAGATCAGAGGAAACAGAAGAGGATGGTAGAAATGATCATAAATAAGAACATAATGTAATTTGTCAGGTTACTATCCCCAAGGGGAGAAAAAAGGGAGAGTTTACTCACTTAAAGAAGAGGGGCTGAGAGAAATCTTTAACATATTGGGAATAGGCATGCGGATGAAATGTAAGCAAGCAAAGTTGATGGAAGGAGTTTGGATACAAAAAATAATTAATTTTTTGCAGTATTGGGCTTTGAAATGTATAAATCTCATTTGTCTACCCACACAATTTGTATGCTGAAAAAAAATAAAACAAATGAATTTTCAAGAGATTTTGAATTGTATGGTATTTGAATCAAGGATAATCTCACTTCGAGGTTATGGTTTCTTATTCTGCAAGCTCTTTGAGTTGCTCTTCCTGGTTCTCTTTGGCGTCAGAACCTGTCTAGTCTAGTCCTCCAATGGAATGGTCAGGTTTATGATTATCCACTCTTTTCTTTCCATCTCTACCATGAGTCTTTCTGTTTGTGGGAGCAGTTGCAGTGATGTAGTCAGTAGCATATTGATCTATAGTGCTGGGAATCACATCGATGACTGTAGGTTAGGTCCCGAGTTGACTGAAAACATACCAAGTGCACATGGCGCCCAAGATCCTGACTAAATGGGGACCTGGAAAGGAGATCTCAGGGGTAAGGGATCCTGTTCAGGGGAAAGGCATCCTGTTCAGAGGACTTGTTTCTCTGTCTCACTCATACCCCCTCCCCTCTCATATAAAAGAAATAAAGGAAAATAAAAAAAAAAAAAAAAAGAGAGAGAGAGAGATTTAGGTTTGTGGAAAGATGTACTTGAATTGTTGTTTTAGTCATTATAGCAGTTGTATATGTGGATAAATATTAACTATTGCAAAAATAAAAGTTACAGTACTATTAGTTAAAACATTAGATGGTTAAAAAAAACTAGGTACTTAAAATGTAGGATAAAGAAATTGTGTATTAATGTTTACCAGGAGTATTTACTTTGAGTAATTGCATGAACATGAGTTAAAAATGAATGTGTCTACTTCTTTATGCCTTTGTTGTTGTTGTTCTTATATACCAGAGAGCCATTCTCAATATACACTGGTGTGTTAGCACTTGTATAAGGTTATAGACAATATTGTTAAATTGGCTCAATGTTCAAATGATCAAAATAAGGATATTTCAGATGAGGGTCTCAGCTAGCTTGGAAACTAGTGAGTCACAGAAAAATCAATTATGATATTATGGTTTGAATGTGTCTTTCTAAATTAAGAGAGTAAAAAATCTGTGGTGTTGAAAGGTGGGTCTTTGTCAGGAGATTGGAATAAGATAAGGTCATTATGGTGGGGCCCCTATGATTGAGTTCTGGTGGGTTCATAAGGAGAGGAAGTGAGAACAAAGCACAGGCAGGAGCAGAGACATGCCCTCCTGCCCTCTCACCACGGGACACCCTGCACTGCCTGTGGACTCTCTAGAGAGCCCCCACCAACGAGAAGACCCTTGCTGGGTGTGGCCCCTTGACCTTGGACCTCCAAACTGTGAGTTAAATACACTTCTAGTATTTATACATTACCCTAACTTAGGTATTTCTGTTATTAGCAACATAACAGATTAAGACACATGGGAACCCTCTGAAAGATGAAAAGGCATTATTTTACACTCTTGAGAATTCCTTCAAAGTTCAGCTTAATAGAAGAAAGCTGGACTCTCACATCTGCTTCTATAGCTAATGTTTTGTGGTATGACATTTTATATAACTTCTGGAGAACTCCATTGTATGCTTATGAGAAAAGGACAATAAAAAGGGCAAATGCTTTCTTATTTTTTTGAAAATAGTGTTATCTCACAACTTCCCTGAACAGGTCTCAGGGTCCCCAGAGATTGGTCTTTGGATGATACTAAAACTGCTTCACCTGGGGCCACATCCATTTGTGGCTAATCCAGAGTGGCCCTACAATGTGTACCTACATATATACTCTTGTTAAAGGAAAGGTTAGCGTCTTACTTTCTGATGTCCTCTCTCTTCCACAGATCACATCATTTTACTTTATCTCATCAAAGGTGCACTAAAATAAAAAATAACAATCTTTTCGCCAGTCAGTGGTGTGATGGTTAAGGTGACTGAATCCCACATGGCTGACTATGGAGTCTGAGTCTGGGAACTGAGGGCCTGAGAAACACACTGGGTGTTTGTGTGTGTGTACCCAAAATCTGCAAAGGAGGACAATAGAGGAGAATAGATTGCAACATGACTATCCCTCACAGGGGGTGAGGGAGTGGCGCTTTCTTCCTCTCTTTCTCTCTGGTGAGGATATATACCCTCTGGTAAAATGAAAACATATTAACAGTCCTAAACACTTTCATGTGACTAGGAAGAAATAAATTCCCTTTCTTATTAATGCTACAGCATGAACTGTCAAGTGGACCTATGAAGATAAAGTTATATTGGTTTAAACATATCTTGCCAGGGTCTCACCAATATGCTGTTATTTTTGTCATTGCAGCATGTTCACCGAGAATTTCGTATCTGGTCTCAGAGAATAGTTTTTTAGAAAGTTAAGGCTCAGGACCAGCAGATGGTGTGATGGTTATGCCTCTGGATGCTCACATAGTAGACCACAGTTCAAGTCCTAGACCCGGCAGCTTAAAACTCATGCTGGGTGCGCATGTGTGCACACCCAAAATCCTGATAAGAGAATGAAGGAAAAGGGATTGAATCACAGCCATCCCTCCTGGGTGGTGATTTCTCACTTTCTGTCTCTCTGTCTCTCCAGCAAGTGCATGCACCTATAGCAAAAATCTCTCTCTTAAAAAAAAAGAAAAGAAAGAAAGAAAGTTAAGAATCATCCGTGCAAGGGGGCTTTAATACTGAACATCTGCACTCTGTGGCAGAAACTGAAGGACTTGAAAGTGTAGAAGTAGAGCAAATAATATTAGATACCAGCAACTGCTTGGGGAAGGGATATATAGAGGATGTGTGGTAAAAATTTTAATGGACACAAGAGTGCATGTAAATAAGGTGAAGGGCCATGGGATGGTGTATCACCACAGAGGAAAAAATATGAACAGCTCAAAACACAGTCCCCCCACTAAAAAAAAACAAGTAGAACTGTTTTGAATGTGAGCAACATAATGTAATGTTCATGTTGAATAAGAGGGATATGTGTATATCTGATTTGATTATTCACACTATGTGCATGCTTTGAAAAGCCATACTGTACCCCACAAACATGTACACTAAATATAAATAAACCAGAAATCACAATAAAAATAATCATGGAAAAGCAGAAATAAAGTAGGAGTTTATTCAACTGCTGTTTGTACTGTCTGTCTTCAAATTCATATCCCAGGTTTGTATGTTTTCAAGTTAAATTTGGCTTTCTAAGTTGTCACAACATGTTGTGTGTGTGTGTCTCATGAACAGAGGGCATAGTCTGCACCCATTGTGGAAATACTGTTGTCTGCCACGAGGAGGTGAATGTGGGTCACTGAGTCCCAGTGCCCGTGACTCTTCCAGGGTGTCCTAACTGCATGTCCAGGTGCTGGCTCTGCACGTTGGGCTCTGCTGTTTCTTTGCACTTCCAGAGTGAGGACTTGCTACCTGTGAAACAAATCTCATGGCTTAATGATCTTTACTCACAAGATTTTGAAAAAGTCGTAAAGTTTATTTTTCCCTAACTTTAAACTGGCTTTGAAAGTTTTAGATATAGCACCCAGAAACACTGTATTTTGGAGAACTTAAGCTGTTATGCACATGGAAACCTCTAAATGTGGTCTCCCACACTGACAGGTGGGATGGCAGCACTTTTCTGCTTCCGTCTTCAGGTGCTTTTTCTTAAGTGCACTTCTACTTTTTCTGACACTTCGCATTTCCATCTTCCATGTTCATGTTTTCAACCTTTCGGGGGATCTACTAAAGAGTAATTAACTTGCACAGGGCCAAGGGAGCACAGAAAGTACCCAGCAGTACATTTCAGATCCACTTGCTTATTTGATGATGACCCTTCAAACATTTTATATTATTTTCTGCCTTCCTAACTGGTTTTCATAAAGAGAAAAGTGATTGTAAAGCACTAAGTAAAGCATTATTTGGAATGGATTTTTGAAAAATCTATAAAAGGCAGAGGAGGGAAGTCACCCCTTTTGTTCTGGTTGGTTTGAAATAACTATAGTACATATTTCTACTTGATGGGTAAAGCATTAAGTTAAAATATTTATTTGAAAGCATTAGCAAAGCACTTCAACTATTTGCTGGAGTATATGTTTTAGTAAAGCAAACACATCTGGATATTTATCATTGCTCACATTTAAATGCATTGTTGTGAGCCAAACAGGCAGGGGGCATTCTATGGCTAAATGTGGTCACATTCTTGGTCTTTGCCTTCCCCATCACCTCCAAGGTATAGGAAATCAGGATTTTGGTGGTTGTTAGAAAACACGTGGTGTATTCACTGTATATTAAATATACTTGTATTTAATGTTTCAGCACAGGAAATTGTGTGTACATTGTGGTCCGCTTTGTTTCATTTGCCATGAAGATTTGAACAGAACAGACTTTTTATTTATGCAAATTATAAGAAATGAAAAACTTATAACTTCATTAGTTGGAGCTTCTGGACAGCATCATACTGTATGTGTGTATGTGATTTTTTTTTTTTTTTGTACATCTGGTTTTTTTAAGTTGCCGATTTCAATGTCATGGTCCCTAAGTACTCTCACATTACTTATTTAGAGAATCCATTGTTAAAAGTTGTAAGGAATTTGAAAGATGGGCTTTTTTCTTTTTTTTAGTTGAGGAAGGTGGAAGGTGGGGGTAGGATGATTGTGTCCTGAAAACTTCTGTTAGTTTATTCCTGAGGAGAAAACTAAGAAAATGTGTATTTGTCTATTGCTAAAAATGACATAATACTGTTTTATATTTATTTGTTCCAGGTGTCTTTTGTAAGAGAAGAATAAATAATAAGGAACTACTGGTCTAAAAAAAAAAAAGTATGAGTTTATTTGGATATAAAATATTTTGGAAATCCATGTATAGTTTTTCCATAACAGGTATTTTCCATAAACTTAAAAAAAATTTTAGAGAGATTTTTGCTATAGGGCACATGCACTTGCCAGAGAGACAGAGAAAGACAGAGACACAAAGCGAGAAATCCCTCCTCCCCCCCAGGAGGGAGATGGTTATAGTGCAATCCCTTCTCCTCCATTCTCCTCTTGGGATTTTGGGCATGCATGCACGTGCGCCCGACATGAGTTTTAAGCCACTGGGTCTGAGATTTGAACCATAGTCGGCTAAGTGGGAGTCCAGCAACATAACC